GATACTGGATTAGCTATTCTACTAGGACAACCTAAAACATGCTAACTCGAAATTTTACACTAGGATTGTGTGGCTGGCATCGGATAGACAAAAAAAGGAAAAAAATTAGATAACAAAAGATATAGTCATTAGTATTCCTAACACTTCACCCTCTTTATACACACCCTTCTAATAAATCTCTTTCCTTGAACCAACCTTGACTTCCCTTCATGTGAGCCTACTCCAACTTGCTAAGCGGCACAACTCATTGTTCTTTATTAGTACATTCTTTAATATGGAGCCTCTGACTTCACTTCACTCTAACAAGACATAATATGAAATTATCCTAATTTATTATACCTCTGTCCGTTCTACTACACAATCTTAAGCGACGATTGGCGTTCATATCCAAGTGCCTTGCTGCTCTTCTGTTTTTCTTTTTTGTTCTTCAGAATCTTGCTCTGAGGGCACAGTTATGAAACGTCTGACGTTTGGAACAAACTTGACATACTCGCCTCCTCAAGGTCATGGGAAGCATTCTGTGAGCCAACAAATGCTACAATCTGTAGATCATGCCTGTGAACATGGCGTGTACCTGCCATGCGCAAATATATTATTATTGAGTCTTTTCAGTCCCATGCCAGTTTTGCTTGCTTCGGTTACATACAGTGCAGTGTTGCTGGTATTTCGGGGGTTATCACTCCCAGGGCTTTCATGATTCAAGGACGGGCACTAAAAGGTTATTCGAAATAACAGGCTTTTGTAAAATGCCACACGTATTTGTACTTTGGCAACACCTTAAACAGTAACGCCTTACGTAATCGAAAAGTGCCAGTCCGAGCAAATCAAAGGTTAGAAACGAAGAGATTTGAAGACATATTTGATAGGCTATCGATATATCGAGAAGTGAGCAATCTAAGCAGGGTAGCGGTTGTAGGAGAAGTACAGCATACTCACTCATAATCTGGGGTATATCCATGACCCAGCACACTCAGCTAGGTGTGTCCATTGAATATAGTGCGGTTAGTATAAGATGTCGGAGACTTACAGAGCTATTGATTTCAGGGATTTATTTACTACTACAAAGTGATCATAGGACAGTTCTTTTTTCAATAAACAAAGGACCTATCAATCGCACGCCATTACTGGAGCTGATAGTCGGTTTTAAATATCGTCTATGAAAAACGCATTACCGTAACAATCTGATGACGCTTTAGCTATGTCAAATCCACTGATTACCCGAACCAGTGGAATTTTATGGATGTCAGTCTTCCGTCATTTCTTTGCCTTTATCGCTCAACAAAGTGGAACGAACTGTTTATGGCAATCAAAAGCTCATTAGCAGACCAGAGCGCTGATTTGATAAGTTTATCTGATTGGATAAAACCATACTCTTTTTCATAGCGTAAAACGTCTTAAGTTACCCGTATTTAATTAGGTCGAAACACAAACTCTTTGCCCAATTTAGTCAGTTCCGGTTTAAGGTGGAATACAAATTATATCGGAAGCAGAAAATAACTCAGATGGTACGAACTACAAACAAAAAAGTAGCACAGAAATCGTTAAGATAACTGGTTCTCTGGTTCGGGATCTAGAAATCAATTAGTGTTCACAATAAAATAGGACCAAATATCTACTTGTAAGGATTCGAGTGATCGTTTCATCGGGTGGCTAAGAGAATCAATCACAGTTCTTACCACCCCATCACCTCGACTTTGGTCAAGCTCGAACTCTTAGTCACTTCTTGACAAAATGCACCAGCGAAATTAGATAACAGACGCATATCTTGACCAAAGTTAAATTACAAAGACACAGACAAATAAGACTAAGGATTATGAAACGTAGTTACGAGAGAATTTAGTGAATACTGAAATAAAAGATAGGGTGTAAAAGCGAACAGATGAAGAACGTATTCACCACGATACTGTAAAGAGATTTTCAGTTTGTTCATGCCGTCATACTCTTCAAGACTATTTCAAGAATCTCAACTCAAATGTTCCTCATTCCATAATCTGGTTTTATTTTTGTTAATAGGTCCAAAGGTTTCAGAGAGTGTGGAGAGAAAAGATCCTTTTTTGTTAGTCATAGAGAACAGTTCTTAGGTCTATTGTTAAGTTTGTTTTACATTGTTCCTGCTCATTCCTTTCCTACTCTTTTGCATGTTGGTTTATACTACTTTTTTACATTCAGTAGGCAGCTGTATGTCAAACAATTTTCAAACTTATGTTGTAACTCAAGTTGTACTGTAACATTCTGGAATGTTCACCTATATTTTTAACGTTTATTTTACCTATAATTGTATTTATCATTGTAATCACTGTAATTTAATTACTGTAACGATTATCCACAGTTTTGTGTATTTGTTTGAATGCAACAGTTTCCACATTGTTTGCTCTTGGTTCGAGTTTCGGTTGTTCATAAACTGTTACCAAATTTAGACACAGCTATCGGCTGTCTTTGGACTATCGTATGTTGTAATCATTCTTTACGTTACTCTTACAGGAAGCCTTTGCTATTTTCATTCTTGAACGACGCGTTTAAACGCCTAGACACCTCACAAGTTGAGGTTTGTAACTAAATTTTGTGTATTATTTAATAAAGAACCGCTTTTGTAGACAAATCGTTGTTTTGGAACTTCGGTTTTGCGCGTATCTCAATCGAGGTTATTTGTACGCTTCGATAGAATTAACAGTTTTTAACTTTGGTCTCATTTGGTGTGGATACAGTTCTGAACTTTGGTCCTAATTGGAGGGAATACTTGCTGTAACGAATTTGGTCGTAATCCTGTTTGGTTCGTTCATCCCAACGATGACTAGAACGAGAAGAATGAAGTACAACGATGACAGTTCCCAAGACACAGACAATTCCAGTGCTGAAAATATTATTCCTTCACTTTCTAAGGTGAATTCATCTATTCCTTTAAATCTTGCCTTTGATATTGTTAAACCTAACCCCAAAGACAGTTGCTCGGTAGGAGACAACTATGTAGACACTAGATACAGCGTAGAAGACGAAATGGTTTCTAGGGAAAGGGAAGTAGAAAAGATTAAGCTGGAGATTAGAGAACTCCAACTACGCAAGCGATTGTTAGAGCTAACTCCGAACTTTTCAAACAAAGTGAGAAGACCTAGGGAGACTACCGAGTTGTCGGGGTCTCGATCCGAGGATAAAACTTCAGTAGTTACAGCAAGTCACCGATACACCAATGTACCTTCGAGCGATGAAATGCAATTCAAAGCACAGGTAGATAGTGTCAAGGCGCTATGTATGTCAGTAAGCTTACCGAAGATAGAAATCATGAAATTTGACAGGAGCCCTCTGAAATTTTGGACGTTCATGAAGGGATTCAAGGTGACAGAGTAAATGATGACACTCAGAAATTAATGTACCTGATACATTATTGCGAAGGTATAGCAAAGGATGCTATAGAACACTGTGTTTTATTACCAGAAAAGGAAGGTTATACTGAAGCAACTAAAATTCTACATGAACGGTTCGGCAGACCACATGACATCGTGGATACCTATGCATTGTTAGATAATGGCTCAGACTCGACATTACTGCTTAGTGACGTGGCAAAGCAGGTAGGAATTTCTGGTACAGTGACAAGATTAAACATATCTTCGGTAATTGGAGCGTCATCTCAGAACGCTAAACTTACCAATTTCGAAATTGAGTCTTTAGATAAGACCAACCGAATAAAAATCGAAGGTGCATATACTATAGATAACCTACCTATTAAAAGAGCAGAAATCCCACCAACGAACTTCTAAGAAAGATGGAAACACTTGAAAGGTGTACAACTACCCACCATAGCCTGTGACAAGGTTGGTTTGTTACTTGGTGTTGACGTTCCAGAGGCCCACTGGGTACTCGATCAGCATATCGGAAAACCTAAACAACCCTATGCTTCACTAACCATGTTAGGATGGGCTTTATTTGGACCAACGGGTCAACCTAATAAAACTTCAGTCTTCATGAACTGTTTAAAAGCGAAAAATTCCTTTGAGGAGGATATTCTCAAATTATTTGAACATGAATTTTCTGAAAATAAGTACTCTGATAAGGTTACCATGTCCCTATGTGATAAGACCATTATGGAGATTACTGACAAACAAACAGTATTGCTCGATGGACATTATCAAGTGCCGATACCCTGGAAGGCGGATTGGCACTCACTTCCAAGGAATAAGAGCGAAATAGAAAAACGATTAATTTACCTACGTAAAACGTTGCTAAAAGACGAACAGCTTCGGAAACAGTATACTATTATATTAGCTACCCACGAAAGTAAAGGATATTTGTCTCGAGTAACTCAAGCTATCGAAGAAGAAAGGTATTTTATTCAACATCATCCCGTATTTAACCTTAAAAAACCAGGTAAAGTTCGGATAGTCTTTGATTGTGCTGCTAAGTTACAAAACAAGTCTCTAAATGATTGTATATATTCTGGACCAGATCTTACAAACGACCTAGTGGGAGTTTTGCTTAGATTCAGAAAGCATAAGATTGGATTGTCAGCAGACATTGAAGAAATGTTCCTCCAGGTACATCTACCCGAAAAGGATACAAAGGCCTTCAGCTTTTTATGGTATCCCGATGGCAATCTTGATTCTCCTCCTGAGGTCTATGAGTTGCATGTACGCCCTTTCGGGGCTACGTCCTCGCCGTTTTGCGCTACCTATGCTTTAAGACGTACAGCTACAGACCACCGAGATTTGTTTGATGAAAAAACCCAGTCCACCTTACGAGAAAATTTTTATGTAGACGATTGTCTAGTCTCAGTAGAAACAATACCAGAAGCTGCCGAGTTAGCAAATAACCTGATAAGACTCGTTGCGCTTGGAGGCTTCCGTTTACATAAATGGGTTAGTAACGTAAATGAAGCGCTGAATGACGTCCCTATAGGTGATAGATCAAACAATTTGGTTCGTATACCAGGTTCAACAGAACGTATACAGAGAACTTTAGGACTTTGTTGGCACACGCAATCCGATTGTTTTGCATTCGACGTAAATCTTCCCGAACGCCCGATCACTAAGAGAGGCATTCTACCATGTGCATCATCGTTATATGACCCGCTTGGATTTCTAGCGCCTTTATCACTTACCCCTAAACGAATTCTGCAACAGCTATGTCGTAAAAACTATGGGTGGGATGAGATGACAGATGAAGAGTCACGATTGAGTTGGGAAGGTTGTTTAGAAGCAAAGAGTTCTATCGAGGACGGACCCACGCCACCCTCTTCTTTGACCACAGTAGCGCCTGAAAACCCTTCAAATCGTTTGTTGCCGTTCATAGATGATCCTGGTTTATGCCTTAAACACTCTCCTGATGTGTCACTCTTAGTCGATGATGATGATGATGTACGCTCACTCATAGTAACAGCAGCCGCTGTTGAGACTGAAGATTCCAGGGTTCATCAATGTTTACCGTCAGTTCGTTCTTTTGTATTTAATACTCCACCTGATTCAAGAAGTAACCGACTTATAGATACCTTTGATTCTGTATCTAAAGCGACAGACGAGAATTTAATGGATTTAGAACAAGTTATTTCATTACCAGCTGTTGACTATGAGTACCTTCTAAAAACTGCCAACGATCGTCATGTCGATAAAGCAGTGAATATTGACCTTAGATGTATTTCTCCTCCAGACAAAATTCTTCCGACAGATAGCGGCGAGTTAATGTCATCGAAAACATCTGTTATGTTCTCTGCCGAAACAAATCTCCCTAGTGTTTCTGACGTGAACGATAGTGCTAAGTCTGTGATACTACTACACGAGTCATCAATTAGTTGCAAAGCAACAACAACTCAGTTCTCTGCAAATACGAAACTTGTATCTCCTGTAGTGGCGTCTGCTGAGAGTTCTATTGACATCAAGCGTGAAACAGAGAATCAGAAAGATGATTGTTTTATTCAGTATGCTGATGATGATAAGAAGTTTAAGACAACTGTATCCATGTCTCCTTTAGTTGGGTTAGACAAGCAGACACAACATCCATTACCAGACTTTAAGGATAGTAGAGTAGCCGAAGAAAGGACTCATCGGAACATAGAATGGCACCATAACACTCCCTACGCAAATCATCATCGAGTATGGGAAAAATTAATAGGAAGCATACGTAGACTTTCGAGCGCAGTACCTATGTCCTACGAGACACTCACCACCTGTTTGACTGAAGCAGAAAGAATACCTAATGATAGACCACTCTTACAGACGCGAACGAAATGGACACAAGGAAGACGAGATTTACAAGTTCGCGGTCCAGTCTTGATTATTGGAGACACTTGTGCACGAAATAACTGGCCTGAAGGCCTCGTGGTAAGTTTTGATCCAGGAGGAGATGGTCTATGGAAACAAGCGAAGATCAGAACGTGGAAAGGTACAATTATTAGAGGCATACGTAAAATTTGTTTATTAGAAGGAGCTGACGACCGAAAAGTAGAGGATAGAGAGACTTTTCAGAGTGACTGTGGCTAGAGTAAATCGTACCATTGTCACCTCTGAATGTTTTTACATTAATACCTAATCAGCGAAAGTAAGTAAAGACATGCTGTCTTTGGGGGGCGGTGTTAAGTTTGTTTTACATTGTTCCTGCTCATTCCTTTCCTACTCTTTTGCATGTTGGTTTATACTACTTTTTTACATTCAGTAGGCAGCTGTATGTCAAACAATTTTCAAACTTATGTTGTAACTCAAGTTGTACTGTAACATTCTGGAATGTTCACCTATATTTTTAACGTTTATTTTACCTATAATTGTATTTATCATTGTAATCACTGTAATTTAATTACTGTAACGATTATCCACAGTTTTGTGTATTTGTTTGAATGCAACAGTTTCCACATTGTTTGCTCTTGGTTCGAGTTTCGGTTGTTCATAAACTGTTACCAAATTTAGACACAGCTATCGGCTGTCTTTGGACTATCGTATGTTGTAATCATTCTTTACGTTACTCTTACAGGAAGCCTTTGCTATTTTCATTCTTGAACGACGCGTTTAAACGCCTAGACACCTCACAAGTTGAGGTTTGTAACTAAATTTTGTGTATTATTTAATAAAGAACCGCTTTTGTAGACAAATCGTTGTTTTGGAACTTCGGTTTTGCGCGTATCTCAATCGAGGTTATTTGGACGCTTCGATAGAATTAACATCTATGTAGCTTTAGATTATGGTATTAATATGTACTTTGTGGATTCAAATGTACCTTCCCACCTCACAAGCTGGTGTTTAGTTTTCTTTCCGCACTGCACGAAATGTTCAACAACTAAGTAGGTACATTAAGCTTACTAAACATGCACACACGTTGTCAGCAACAAATGTGTCAAACTACTAATAAACTGGAATAAATGTCATGTAACAAGCACAAACATTACGAAAATTAACACGAAACCGAAGAAAGCTGTTAATATTTGATAAATAATGACATCCCAGAATCCTAGATAATATGTTACATGTGCGCGTAAATTCATGGCGTAACGGCCTGACTGTGCCCAAAAATTGTGCAAACACGGTCCAACCAGCTAAATAAACCTTGAAGGAATACACAGTAGATGCATATTAAACAGAAGAATGGTCACCGAAAAATTAAGAAATTTAATCGTCTGCTAAGGATTTACAGTCTGTTAGAGAAAACAATGATTTTGATCCGAGGAAGCAGTTTTATTTACTTACTCTTGTCAAACCACGTGAAAGGGCGTTGGCCGTCGACCACGATTCTCCAACCAACTATGTCTCCCTTAATCCCCCCAATTTGTTTTCAGTTATTATTCATCCTTTTTGATGCATGCTTCCAGTTCCCGACTCAATGTGTTCCTTGGTCTTACTCTTTTCTCCTTGCCCTCAGTCCTTTTTTGAACCTGGACAAGTTTTATAATGTTGACTCCTTGAAAAATGTTCAAAGACGTTGCGGGAGACAAGGCGTCCGCAACTAAACTGTATGTACCGGAAATGTCTTGTATAGCTGAGGCTGTCGAGACTCTAGAGGAGAGAACTTGTCTGAAGACGTGCTTTAAGAGGAGTCGTGAGGTTTGTAGTCAGTGAAAAGAGTGAATTCCGACCTTCAGATGAGTGCTGAAAATGCCATGCAGCTCAAGACATGGCCACCGAAAATGCTACAACTCGATCCGTTGTCTAGTAACCGCCTCTAAAAGTGTCAAAGGTTGCCAGGCGTAGTCAACCCATTATTGTAAGTCTCCTTCGATTGGCAGGTCGAATGCTTCCAATGAGATACTAATGGGCGCCTTGATGTGCGAGCAAAGATTCTCGTCTAACAAGTTCCTTAGCTGTGGAGAATGTTTTTATTCGCGGTATGGTCCAGATCGACAGATTTCGACGTTCCACAAAGCTGATCTGTTGAGGGTCTCATGAGAGATGCGCAATTCGGTTTGAACCGTTAATAAAATCTTACTAGGCCGTTAAACGTATACAGTCGCTTGATTGGGATCGGTTCTGGTAAATCCGGAATGGCCGCCACTTTGCTTTTCAGAAGTTGGATGCCTTGAGGATCAATAGTGTATCCGAGAAAATTTAGGAATTCAGTGTCGATTTGACATTTCTGAAGGAGGTGATTTTATTCTGCCAAACATTAAATGGGATTCGACTCCGATACCAGGTAGATATAACAAGCTGGTTGAAACACTAAAGTAAATTATGTTTCGGTGGTAATCCAAGAAGAAATAAACAAGTTATACGAATGAACCGTTTCGTGGAATTTGCCAAAAGTGTATTTATTTCAGTGGAACTACATCCCGGTTCAGAATTCTCCTTGATGATTTCCTTTCAGAAAGTGGATTGTGTCACCTATTGAATATCGATGTATTTAATAATGATTCATACAAACAAGGTCCGCCATCTATCTAATTGATTGGAAGTCAAAGTGTGACCTTCGGAACTTTTCACAGCTATTTTTTATTCATCCTAATATTTGAAGTCTGCTTATGTTCGTATCTCTAATTATTACCGTTATTAATTTCATTTTTGGTCCCTCGACACATAAGATATTCTTTTCATCTCTTATCCTTCTAAACATATATTATTCCTAAACATCCAAAGTCTATAGCTAAAAACAAATTATATCACGGTACACTTAAATAGAATAACTTCTCAGATTCATTTTATTATCACTGCATAAATGCAATACATATAAATTTATATTTCATTATCCTTTGCAATTAATTGTGAATTTCACAACATCATTCTTAATTATTATTGCACAAATGTTTATATTAACATCCGGTTTCACTATGTATACTATTAAATAAATCTACATGTATTTATTCGAACGCAGTGAAGGATTTTTTATCTTGTCTTATTTTATTTTTTTAAATTAGTGGTTTACTTCAGAGGTCGATATTCATTACACAATTACTATTATTATCATGGTTTAGCCCTTTCACTAAGTGTTCATTTCTTTTCACTCTCTTTCTTTCCTTCCAAGTAAATATTATTCTTAAGATTACGAAGTTTTTTCGCCACACTTAGATTAACTTCTCAGACTCGTTTTATCTTCACTACGTATGTATGACTCAAACATACTAATATTTGATTATCCTTTTCACTTAATTGAGACTTTCATGGCATCACTCCAAACTATGACTGCACAAACACTTAGTCTAGCGTCATGTCTTACTGCAGTAATAAGTTATTTTTCCTTCACTATTTTCTATTTTATTTTTATTACTAATTTGGCGGTACATACATAATCGTTTATCCTTGTTCTGTGTTCACAAACACGCCCATTAAACTATTTGCGTGTTTCACGTCTCCTTTATTTCTATTCCTTTATTTTCTCCCTTTCCTTCTTTAAACTCAATTCAATATTCTTCCCGATTACACAGAACCTGATTTATTATTATCATTCTACTAGCATTACTCTCATTTTTAAATATGGCAAATATAATGCTAACATTATTGAAACTAGTGTATTATTGCATTTTTGAAGAAACCTGAAATGGTTTCTTTCCAACATTTATGTACCCATAAGATGCTTGTGAATAATAATAATAATAATATTAATGCTTGCAGTAATGCCATGTTTTCACAGTCGCTCGAAAACAAGGTCCGGTTGTCAGATATGAGATTCTCTCTCCAGACTTAAAATCAGATAGTCATCAACATACACACGTACGAAATTGAGACCTCGAAATACGACATCGATGAATCCCTGGGACGTTTGTGCGGCATTTATTAGGCTGAAAGGCATGAGCGAAAATACGTAAGATGTGAAAATGTCGTCAGAAGTCATGGAAATTTGACTATATGCCTTAACACAGTCGACTTCCGAAAAACAGTAGTGCATTTCAAGGTGGCTGTCAAATCGTGGGTGTGACCAATAGTCCAATAGTGTCCAATAGTCCCCAAACCTATCATGTGCTTGACTTCGTTTTCCATCAACCGTAGATTTTCGTGAACTAGTTGGCGCGCTTTCGAGAATAAAGGTGGTCCTGTGATCGTGATGTGAGGTGTAACATTGCTGGTTACTCACGTTGGTTTTCGGCCGGGTTTGGAATATTTCGGACTACTTAGGGACTATTTGTTGTTGGTATGGATCGATCGTGTGCTTTACTGTGACTGAAGACAATCCACAACCAGCAACGAAGTTACACCAACAGATAAATCAGTAGTTCCGCATACCAACATCTATTTTCTCGTGTCCATGATTAGATTATCATGTTGTGGCACGTTTTTGTATCAATGATTGGTATAGAAAAATTTGCAACGATGATGAACTAGTTAGTGGATTTGCGTAAATCCACTCTAAGGTACATATACCACTTAACATATGTGGCGATCGGCTTCCGATTAGCCGTCTGTAATTTGAAAACCGCTTTGTATAGTCGGCCGTTAAAAATTGCTGAAAGAATGCGCACTTCTGTGTTAGTGTGGATGAAGTAGCGAACTATCATAATCACATTAGCGACGTATAACAGGCGACTATGTTTGCTGGCTACGGTTGCCGTCAACGCGTACCGACTGGAAAGTTTCCCGATGCGTTTATCATGTCGGATGGTCTGAAGCGCGGTAAACTGCAGGGTTTTCTGCACAGAGGGGGTCCTACTTGAGTTAAACGGGAATGGTGTGATCAACCAGCTGACATCGAAGTTACACTTCGTGGCTAGCACCTAACGTGGATTATCCTTTTTTCCTATCAAGGTACTATGGCCGTTTTAAAGTTCGTATAACACAAAGGACGTTATTGAAGAGATGTGTTGGTAAGAGTCGATACAAGGAAGAGAGGGTGACCACCACCACATAGGTCAGATCATGGAGTGTGTTTAATTGATGCGCGTTGCTTTCCCTTGAACTTGACGAGGGCCGGTGAACTGTCCGACATTCAGTGACCTAATTGCCGGATGATTTGGCTTGGGCCTAGTGACATTTCACTGGCCATACAATACATCCCAGCTACCCTCGTATATAAACATCAACTCAATTCTCGTTAGTGAATAACGGAACAGAATTAGTCAAATACGACTATGGATTTTGAATACGAATATTTCATACGATCGTCCATCTAGACAGACCATCAGGAAAACGAAGTGGAGAAGTCAAAGAGGAGAGAGAGAGAGAAGCAAAACGACCCAGGGTGGAGAAGGCGGGTGAGTCAATTAAATTTAATTAAACGTCACTCAGTATTTGTATTCAGCCAAAAAATAAATTACAGGCACGTAATGAATAGCGCAATCGATTAACACACATACGATCATATCAAAACAGTCGTGGTTAGTGAGCCAATAAGTGGTAAAGTCGAAATGTGGCTTGAGAAGAATCAATTGATTGATCTGTTTACAGCTAGAATGGTCTATTTGTGCAACAGTGTAATTGTGAGTTGTTTTAAATGTGTCACGGTATGAGGTGATCAAAGACCAAAGGTCGTGGTCTTTTTAAACGACATTTTCACAGTCAATAATGGTAATTACAAAAGTCATGGAAATTGATGAAGAAAATGTGAATAATAACAAAACCCTCGCTAGCATCTTTTTATAATTTCTGTTTTTGGTAGGATATCATTTATGATAAGGTGTGTGCTACTTCCGTATCTGATGAGTTCAGTTGGTCTGGTCTATTTAAGAGCTCTTTGAGGTGTTCTACCCACCTGTTTCATTTCTCTTGACGCTAACTGATTGGTATTCTTCATTCAATCTTGATTGATTTCTCTAGTCTGCTGTATTTCATTGCAAACTGCTTGAATATGTCATATGGTCTCTTCATATTTCCTGATGTTCTACCTTAAGATACAACAGGATAATTATTCTTCTGAAGTTGCTTAGTTTTCTACATATTCACGCCCGCCAGCTCTAGTGCTCTTCGTCACTTATTTGTTTGCTTTTTTATATCGGGCCCGTACCATGACTTTCTCTGCGTTTGTTCGACTCGAAGAACAAAACTCCACCTAAATCGGCTGTTGTTGACTGTCTTCCTTTTGTTTTTCCTCTCTTGAACCTTTCCAAGATTTTATGGAAACCGACTGTTTGTTCTGGTGCTTCTTGGGACCCAACACCTCATGGGGTATTGAAGTTTTAGTGGCCAGATATCCGACTACAGCAATATCGCATGATTGATTATTGTTGGAATAAACATCGCCAATCCTCGTCTATAATTGTCGAATTAATCCGCATTAGTGAATAACGGAATTATGTAATCCAAATACAAGAATGGGTTTTTGAATATGCATATTCCCAATCTCCCTACTTTGGGTAAATTTAGGGTTTTTCCCCAAAGTTTTGTGCCATTTACTCTAAACGGATAAAATTTCCCTCAAAATAAGGAGATTGGGTTTTTTACACTCATTGATCTGGACAGAATCAAGAAAATCAAGCGAAGAGAGCAAAAAAATGACACATTGGAGGTGTGTGAGCCGATTAAATTTAACCAGGCGTGAAGCGGGATTTATACTGTATAGGAAGTGCACACAGTTGCTCATATAAGAAAACATTCGGAGCTGATAAGCGAATAATGTGACTCAAGGAGAATGGGTAAATTGACTTGTCCGGAAGTTAGAACAAGCTATGTGGGCTTAACATAGCAACTGATACTGCAAAATTATTGCTTCCACAATCCCTTCCCAGTTCTTCATAGTCAGCCACACCCAACATAGGACCTGGCGCATTTCTACATCGATTCCTGTCACTACATCCTACTAGCAGAGCAAGATGAAAATGCCAGGGCAAATCCTGAAGTGGGAGAGGTAGTATCAGTATTAGTGATAATTAAAAAGACCAGACCTCGAAGATACTATCTGAGATATAAAATCACTGAAATAGGACGGAAAAAACTATGAATAAGTTAGAAGCGTAAGATCTGAGGTAGTACAAAGAGTACAAGCAAGCGCGACATTACGATTGATTCCGAACAATGCCATTTAAAGTCTCTAACCATTGGTTACTATAATCACACGAACCCCAACCCGGTCGTCTGTTGTTCTCCACAGTGGTTTCTTCTAGTATGTTTTATAAGGCTTAGAACTTGCTTCTTAAACTCGTTATTCTTGTTAACATCTTGAGTTAGGTCCATATTAAGCCTTTACAGTGCTGCTTGTCCGATTGTCTAGTGCTTCTTTAGCTTAGCCACTAGGTGGTGATCTAAACCTGTGTCAGCTCCTCGGTTTTTTCTTATGCTTCCTTTGGGCCTTCTGAGTTGTTTATCGATGCATATCTGATTGATCTGGTTTGTTGTAGTGTGTTTCAGTGAAACCCATGTGGCTTCGTGTATACGTTTGTGAAGGGAAATGACAGCATTTATGAATATGCCAAATGTACACAGATCTGCCAGTTTCTCACTATTTTTGCTCCTTTCTCTCAGTCTGTGTCGCCTCATGATGTCCTAATACTTAGTGTTATCCATGCTAAACTTGGTGTCTTGGTCCCCCATCAGAGTAGACGTATTTTCCGGGGTATTTCTCTAGGATGGACTTCAGCCTCCCACGAAATTGGTTTTTGCCGTTTCCATTCCTATCATCGGTGAATGCTTAGCAATGGATGATATTCGTTGTGATCCCTTCCTTTATTGTTTTGTGGGATACTTCGATGATCCTTGGGACTTGAGGTCCCCATCCTATAAGTGCTTTTCATGCTTGGTAGAACATCAGTGCAACTTCTTGTGTAGGTCGGGAAACTTTGTCTTCGTGTCTGTAACACGACAGCTCTCCTGAAGTTAGTCTTTTTCTGTTCAGATTGTGTTCAGTGGGTTACACATTTCTAGCACTGTTAGGTCGTATCTTCTCATTTTCGCTACCCCTCTGGTTTCCCACGTTTTCCAGACATTCAGTTTATTAATTATTACTCTAGTCGTCAAAATGGCTATCGGCTTCGTGACTACCGAAGAATATCATTTTTCACCACAAGGCATCATAACTGCTATGTATGAAGACCCTTCAACTCCTATAGGGTGGGAGTTTGAATGTTTTAAATGATCTTTTTGTGATCAGCTTTTGTTCAAGCTAGGTCTGACTTAAGGGTTGAGGTTAGAAGTCCTACTCCCAACGTCCCTTTATCTAAGCTTGGAACTGTGAGTAACCCTAAAATGCTCCAGCTTGATTTACTCAGTTAAGTTGCTAACCATTTATCAATCAAACACTCAGAATTTGGTTTCCTACAAAATTGGTGAGCTTGTCAGGATTGTTGTCAATTACCTTAATGAAATCCCAACCACACCCGCTTATTTCACAGTGTCACTGAGCTACCTCTTCATAGATTAGGTGTATCATTTAGACTAAACCACTAATTTGAGTATTCGATCGCGTTAAAGATATTGTTCTATCGGAGAAGGATTATGTATAAGGTCTGTTAGGTCTAGTTGTAAACACTCAAACCATATGCCCTCTTTGTTAGCATATTATGTGAAGATCTAGGTTAACATATGCCTCAACAGTAACAGATTTTCACTAGTCCTATTTAGATGAATTACTTAAGTCGTTTGGTAGTTGTAAAAATGTAATTTCTGTAAAGTTTAGTCCATATCGAAGACTGTGTATTATTGCTATATCTGCGACAATACATTACTATCTCAAGTTCTCTAGCATAAAAGTGCATGTCATGACTTGTAAACAACAAGGTTTTGCAAGTGCAGCTGGTGTGTCCGACCTCGTGTTTTTATAAGTTCATATTCAGATTTTTGTCCCACAAAATTGAACAATATGAAGCATTACATTCCAGCAGCCAATCTAAGCTTCACTATAGGTATCGACATTATTTTTGGTGATTAGATTAGTAAGTACTAACTCAGTAACTAGACTTTTCAATCTATCCTATGAAAAGCAAATAGCATTGGATGGCTGTTTAGCCATAGGAATGGGAGTGGTCTTATACTTACACCCCTTAAACGATGACTTAGTTTGTAATGTGGTTTACCACTTTGCTGCCTCTGGAAATAATTATCTCGCAGACTATCGAATAAGTTTAAAAATGATAAAGTAAACAGGTTGGAATTCCAAATCACCTATTGTGCAATCAGTTATTGAAACCTCAGAAGCAATGGTATCAGGTTCATCATTGACCTCCTCCAAAGAAAAAGTTAAAGTTAATCCCAGAATTAACCTGCATATTATTCTTAATCCTACAAAACAACTCACTGTAGGGCATTTCACTCAAGGTCTCTAACTATTGGTTTCTATCACCACAGCGACATCTCACAGTAAGCTCACACCTTGCTACACAACTCAGACTGATAATCACATACTTCAGCAGCCAATGTTATATTTCACTCTTGCTACGTTGAGTCGTTTCAAACCTGATTTTTCAGCTAACTGCACGAAATTGTAAACATCAACATAATTTCCGTCTTTAAAGAGATGTGAAATCAAATCCTGATGTCTTGCTTTTTTTCCATTTCTGATATTTGTCGTAGCCCGACCGTTGTTGTTATCTTGACGTGGTGGTCGGGTTCGCCTATAGTGATGAAGCAACCGAGCTATACTGGTTGGAAAGACCGTTCCTCTAGGTCCTACCATGTCAGACAGGTCGGTTGAAGAGCGGTAAGACTAAAAGCAACAAACCTAAAGTCCGAAGGCGAAGTCGTACTGCTGACTGTACAGAGGTGTGACAGCAGTAAGGTGTTTCCTTCAGACAACCAGCATGACAGCGATTCTGCCTTCCCACAAGGAGGGGTAGGGTTAGAAAAGGTCGACCCTAAAAATGCACACCTCGCCTTATCCCACGGATATCCGTCTCCGGTGGTAAGGTCTCAGCAAGTACGGAGCTAACACAAAAATTACCCATAAAAACGTCGTGTGTGACCGACCTCAAGCAGTTGTTCCTTGGGCACTGCGGTCACGCTCTCAGGTCATTAAGACCACCTCTAATCCAATTTTCTTTTCAGACGCATAGAGAAGAACCCTTCCACGGTGTGGGCAACCGGGAAGTGAAAACCGCCCTCATACCTCTAACGGCACTCAAGACCACTGTATTTATCATTTGCCGTAGCCTTATAAACCTCAGTTGGAATTGAAAAGACAAAACTGCAACCAGATTGTTGTATCACAGGGATATAGATATCAAGTGCATAGAAGTTGAATCGCTTCGGTTTGCCTTGCCAAACGTTTTGGTCTTCTGAGATGTCGAGTGCCGTCTGCATCGGTAATAGTCACACTGATCGTATTCAATCAGTCAGTAACAACTTAGAACTTCGTACGTATGTACATCAGTTCGAGTTGCCATACCACATTAGCGCAGGGATGCAGTTGTGGATTCAAATCCCGTAGTGGTAGAGGTAGTATGAGTATAAGCAGTAATCGGAAAGATTAGGGTTTGGAGATGTTATTTAAAGAGTATAACCTAGTGAAATAAATTTGGGAAGAGAAAAAAGGAGACAAGGAGGAATCAGGAGATTAGAATTTGGGAGAACACAAAGAGTGTATGCACGTGCGCCATTGCAAACGATTTTGAGCCATGTCATTCAGGGGCTCTAACCATCGGTTGCTATCATCTGATCGTATTACTCTGTGTCAGTCTGTTTACCAAATATAGACGGTTATAGATTTATAACTATTCAATTCCCTGTCCATATTTTATGTTATTAGCCTCTGCTATTAATCGTTTCATAATCTCCTGGCCGTTCTTATTTCTGCGTGCTTTATCTCGGTTGTTCAGAACGAGTCTTCACATATGACGATCCGAATAATGCTGTTGAGATTCACTGGATTTGAATAACTTTCGACCTTATGATACTGTATATAAGTTTTTACTGCCGAAAAAAATGTTCCTTAGTTGTAGTACCAATTTTTAATCAAATAAACCCTAAGCACCAACTGTTCTTAGTTCTCATTCAGATAAATCCGCGCCAGCAATGCGTTTTAGTAACCGAATACAAGTTCGTATAATTGGAATTGGACTACTGTTTTGGTGTGACGGTTGGTGATACTACCCAACCAATCAAACTGCAATAAACAAGGAGTTAAAATGTTCATTGCTTCCACTACCAAGTCACCGTTCCACAGCAGTAGGTGACTGAAGTCCAGACTCAGTTTAAAAAAACAGGAATTTCTCACGTATTTTCTCTAATAATGGCTTGTGCTGATAAGGCTTGTCTATATTTGTTGTTGTGTTGGTAACATATCACCCATAATGTTGAAACTAGTCATCAGAGGTGGTTGACTGGTTCGAACTACACAAAACGATCCCCATTATTAATTAGTTAAACTTGGTAATTACAGCATCCGACTTCAAACCACTTAGTCCCTATTATTTTTTATTCGACCCTACTTTCTTGACAGGTCCAGTCTTCTGTGTAGTTTAATCTGTACCGTTTCCGATTATCTAGGAATTTGGAGCTATCCAACTTTCGTATTAAAAAACTAGCTACTCACGATGGCGATTCTTGATGGTTTATCTAAATGCATTACGGCCGTCTCATATGCACTGATTTTGGTAAGTCTTTGTGAATTAGTTTCATTTTTTTCGATTCAGGTCGCTTCGGTGATACTTATAACTGTTGGGGGGAGCATACTTGTAATCGCTGCGCGTTACAAACACGCTGTGACTGTAACAAACTTACAATTTCCTGGTTATATTGTGCTTGGCACAGGTTTATTGCTTCTGTGTGCTGGAGTGATTGGTTTCATAGCCTGCATCAAACATAATCGCTGTCTACTTGTGTTGTTGTACGCATTGTTGCTCACTGTTTTACTATGTGAAATGGCTGTTATCATCGTCTCTATATTTTACTGGCCAAAAGTAATGCATATTTTTGAAATTATTTATCGTTTCTAGGTTAGAGAACAAATAAGTGAAGTTCTTCATGAAGATCTGAGGATGTATAATAAAGTTGCTGAAGTTCGACAGATTGTCGATTTAATCCAGTCAAACGTAAACTGAAGTTTTTTAAATTCATCCTGTATTTTAGTTTGAGTGTTGCGGAGTGGAAAATCAGTCAGATTGGAAATTTTACAATGATAGCAGTTATCCTCAAAGTTGTTGTAAAAATCGTCAGTTAGAAGAATCGTTTAGCAATAAAGAGTGCATCTACCATCAGTATGGCTGCCTCAATTTCTTGGAACGTGAAGTTAAAAGATATTTGGGTTATGTCATTGGATCTGCATGTACCTTTTTCTTGTTGCAGGTTAGTTCATCTTCTAAACTTCTTTTAAAGTTTATTCGGATTTGACTATCATTGGTTTTTAATATAGCATAAAAGAGTTTATTGCTTGACATGTCAGTTATTTGACATTACTGTCATCTTGTCCTTTCGAATGCACACTGCCAGATCCTACGTTACTTATGACTAAGTCAAAACTAATGGGGATGTATAGGTTAATTTTCTAAAGAGTACATACTACTATGAATAAAATTCTTAAGCTGAGTGTTGTAAGATACTTATCTCTCGGAATCTTACATCCTGTTTAGATCTATAATGCTTCGTATTTTGATTTACTCTAGATTTATTTATCTTATATCAATAGATACCTTAAAACTTTCAAAGGTGATAACAAGGGCCGGGACACGATATAAGAACATTTTCATAGGCTCAGCTTGTTTCGCTTTCAAAATACGCAGGCGATTAAATGAACCCAAGCTCACATCCTTTAGTTTTTTATTTGACCATTAGAATGTTTATGTTAAAGTCCTTTTGTTAGGACTTCACTCAATTTCATCATTGCGTAAACTGTTTTTCCCCTTTATCAAATCAATATAAGAGAAATTACATGATATCACTTATTCTTTTAGAGCTGTGGCTTAGTGGTTTAAGGCGTTTAGTTTTTTGCCCAAAAGTTTGGTTCGCGCCCTGTCTAACCCCACTGCTTGAATGGAACAATGGAGAAAGGTGGTTGTATACCCTTATTCTACCTGAGGTGTTTGTATGTAGGGCTTTTAGGATGTTAATAAACTTCTCAGACACACCCTTCTTTAATCGACAATCCCAGAGAACAGTCCTGTCCGACGAATCGAAGGCAGCCCTTGATGCCAAGAAACACTACGATTGTTGGCCTGTGATAAGTGTGACGGTGTTCTAACATTCGGCGGAGGGTGAATATATGATCAATACATCCTCGACCAGATTTATTTATTTTATTTTAACACAGATATTGGTACAAGGAGGCACCAAATACATATTTACCACACAAATCTCATTTGATTTGTGCAAGGGCTGTGATACTGCCCGGGTGCCCAAACCGAAGCAGGTGGTTTTCTTAGGGGGCCACTCCCCGAGCCTTGGACCTGAAGGTCTGATCCACAAGGCAGTGGAGCATCGTAAGGAGATGCAATCTCATGGTAGCCGGTGACCAACGATTGGTTCATACGTCATTTGTTCCCTCAGGATGCTGGAGCCCGTGTGCACCATTGGTTTGGAATCAGGGTTTTCCAACTCCCCTAGGTTGACTCTCCGTGTCCACCAACCCGGTTAAAGCGTCCGACATTCGCTTTTCGTCCTCTCAATTTCGTAAACAACACCCGCGGTACGAGAAGGCAGTGAGCTAGACGCAGAGTACTTGATAGGGGTAGAAAATTAGGTGGTCAGATTGTGAGTCTTCATCTTACTGAGATGGGTGGCATACACATGTTACGTATACTTGGTTACTATGTATCTTGATATGCAATGTTGGCTTGCATAACAGTAGGATGAAAGAAAGCTTTGCAGAGCCAGACTGAAGCGTGAAATCAGTCTAATATCGTAAGTGATACGTAGAAAAAATATGTGAATGAATAGATCACATACAATTAAATGTCGTTGATAATCTAGTTAAGTCGAATTCTGGTTATCAGGTCAGGTTTTCAATCTCAGTGCCAAAACAGTCAGATATCGTACAAATATTTCTCGGTTATAGTTTCCGCCGTTAGCGTTCGTTTTGTGAACATCAAAAAGCAAGAGAAATCTGGAAGAACAGCTAGAAGTGAGAGCAAAAATGAAAAACATAGAATAGTAGAATGTTCCAAATTTGTAGGAAGATCATAAATAAAGTTATTTATTTTTGTTTATAAGCCTCAACACTCGAAATCTTTGTCAGTAGCTAAAATTTTCTTTTGGATATTAACTAAGAAGCTTATGAAGCCCAAAGTTCAAGTAATTGACTTCATCAATTAACGTATGATCTCGGTCTTCTGGAGCAAATGTTTGAAGCTAGTTGGTTAGATTTCTCTATCTAGAGAATTGCTTGATATATCTAGAATATAAATTATTGCAGTTAGCTTTTTTTCATTTTCTGTTATTGTCTAAGTAAAAGAATAACTTTACCTTAGTAACAGGCTTCAATTTATTTATATTTGCAGACTAATGGTAGAACTTATATTTGGACTAATCTTTGGTCGGTGCTTGATAAGATTTCTGTAAGCCTAGCACCCCTGAAAATCCAGCTGTGAAGTTTTTAAGATTCCGGTCACTGCTAGTTTTTAAAAGTCTGAGCAAAATTGAAGGTCTTACTAGTCTTACGAAGTACTACTGTCTAAAGAATTAACGCTGACACCTTAGAAATATATGATTCTCAGTTTCAGTGTGAACACTATGCTATTTCTAGATGGGGGTGGTTGCGGGGAAGAATTTGTTTTGGTTATTACAATATCACGATAGCTACTGACTTAATAAGTCTTGGGTATTGGTATTCAGTAAATAATTGTTAAAATGTCAGTTTTGGAATATTTGTTATTTAATGATTCCTAGTTTGTGTTTTTTTTTTACTAGCTTATCGGTTTGCACAGCATGTGCGTTGTGATTTGTCGGTCTCAGTCAATCCATCGTTGGCATAATGAGGGTTATATTAGTATATAATCTGTCGTGATTAAGTTTATGGTTAATTTTGGGTACCGAAGTGTTTTATATTTCTACAAAGGAGGTATATTGGACTCGTAGTGCTCCATACCTAAGCTAAATACCCTGCTTCTTTGCACATAGGTCATTCGTTGATTTCATTGACAGAGACCATTCAGGAGGACTATCGTACGCTTATTCATTTTATTGTTTATAATTCTCGATCTATTTCATCATCAAATACATTAAATTATTAAATAAACTAAACATTTTACTATGATATGACGGGGGTATAATTTCACTACCTTTTACCTTAGCAACTTTGGTGCACAATTAATAAAGTTAGAAAAAGTAGGAATTCTTTTCTTACAGACATAACGGTGTTCGTTCGTCTGATGATGTTAATTCTGATATAAAGTTGACAGTAAGGGGTTTTAGCAGAGGCTAGCAAATGGTAAGAAAAGGCATATGTTATGGTAGCTTTTATATGACTGGACTCTTGAGTACTCATTCCGGCTAGCTCCAAACTCAATGTTTGGCACCGCCATACTTATCAAAGGCCAACAATCGTAGTGTTTCTTGGCATCAAGGGCTGCCTTCGATTCGTTGGATAGGACTGTTCTCTGGGATTGTCTATTGAAGAAGGATGTGCCTGAGAAGTTTATTAACATCCTAAAAGCCCTATATACAAACACCTCAGACAGAGTGACGGCATACAACCACCTTTCTCCATTGTTCCATTCGAGCAGTGGGGTTAGGCAGGGTTGCCCAATCTCACCATTCCTCTTCAACTTTTCCATCGATGACATTCTGGAAACAGCTCTGATGGATGTAAGTAATGGCGGTGTGGATCTGTTGCCTGGAGAAAGACTTCTCGACCTTGAGTATGCGGATGATATTGTCTTACTGTGTGATAATGCCCAAGGCATGCAATCCGCACTTAATCAGTTGGCAATCAGTGTCCGTAAGTATGGTATGTGCTTTGCACCTTCGAAGTGCAAAGTACTTCTACAAGACTGGCAGGATTCTAATCCTGTATTCACCCTGGATGGTGAGCAGATAGAAGTAGTCGAGAAGTTCGTGTATCTGGGTAGCTGCATAAGTGCTGGTGGGGGTGTGAATGATGAGATCAATGCACGAATAGTGAAAGCCAGAGCGGCTTATGCCAATCTGGGCCACTTTTGGCGCCTTCGTGACGTTAGTCTGGCTGTGAAAGGTCGGATCTATAACGCTTCGGTGAGAGGTTTTGCTCTATGCTTGTGAAACCTGGCCTCTCCGAGTTGAGGACGTTAGATGACTCTGTGTTCGGTCATCGTTGTCTCCGAAGGATTGCTGACATCCAGTAGCAACACCATGTTAGTAATGCAGAGGTTCGGCATCGTGTGTTCGGGCACAGAGATGATAATGCAATCGATGTCACCATCTGGAAACACCGACTTCGGTGGCTTTGACATGTTCTACGAATGTCGTCCCAGAGAAGTCCACGTCGTGCATTATTTGCCGACTCTGGGACTGGTTGGAAGAAGCGGAGAGGTGGTCAGCGCATGACATGGTGTTGTGGTATGAAAGAAAGCTACAAAGGACTGGCTTCTGTCGGTCCTTCACGGCTCCCTGGTTGGGGTCCGAGAGATGGTGCTACACAGTGGCTAGAGACGTCATCAGATATGGCTCAGAATAGAAGCCAGTGGCGATCCTGCTGTAACCTTCTTTTACTTTCTTCATAAAAAGTGGTTGTGTCTCCCTTAACTGAAAGATTTCTCCTGACTGTACCTTTCCGTTCCCTCATTACTACTATTATTATTACCACACTACCTTGCACCAATCTCTTCGTTATTGTTCTCTTTTTTTTCTCTCTTCGAATTCTCATTGTTTTGTGTGGCGCATATATATTGGCGCTCTCTTGTACCAATATTTATGTGTTCAAATAAATAGATGTTTGGCAATAAGAGCATGGTAGACTGATACGACAATGACACGTAACAGTAGATAGCTGCCTAGTCTTACCAAGTGAACTAAAGTCAAAAAGCACAAGGTTAGTAAAATTAATACTGAGAAAGACGGATAGGAAAATTATTAACAGTTCATGTACCTTAGTGCTACCATTCACCTTATTGATATCCATGAGCAATCCTTAGTGTCCTGGTGTGGCTGAGGGCAAGAACAGTTCACTCTCCCTCTCGAAATGCTCTCATATGATCAAGTGTAAACAACCACTGTCAGGGAAGTCCTACTCAGTGCCTCATGTAGGCGGGGGTGTTTTTTACAAAATTGAAAGGACGAAAAGCTGATATCCGGCGCTTTAGCCGGGTCGGTAGGTACGGAGCATTTGCTTAGGGGAGTTGGAAAACTTATTCCAAACCAGTGGTGCACATAGGCTCCAGCATCCTGAGAGAACGAATGGCATATGAACCTATTGCTGGTCACCGGTCACAACGGGACTGCATTTCCTGACCTTGCGCCACTGCCTTGTAGTGTTCAGTACTATGTCAATCCGACGTGGGTTATTCTAGCTTCCGGATAGACCAATTTATTCATTCTCGAGTCACATTTTGACCTTGTCACTTATCCACTTGTGACCCTGACTGCTTTTATATGATCATGTGTGTCAATCTCTTACCCTATTCATCACATTTCTTTAGCTTATTTTTGTCCGTCTTTAAATATTGAGTCATGCTTGATCTGCTTCGTTTCTCTGATTGTTTGCCTGGATCAACGAATGTATGTAATATACTTATTCAGAATTTATTGTGGTATTTGGTATATTTTATTCCATTATTCTTTGACACGAATGAAGTCGATAATTATATACAAAGGTGGCCAAGTTGTATACTTCGTTAACATCATCATATGGTCAAATTGGAGTCCTGTCAACAGGGCACAAAAACCTCTAGGTCAAAGGTTCGGTGAGTAGCTCTCTAAAAACTAGCTACTTTGGTTCGGGCGTCTGGGCTATATCCCAACCCACATAAAAACCAAATTACGACTACTATTGGGAAAAACCATTCACGCTTTAATTTCAGTCCTTGCAAATCATGCGAAAACTTCTTGTTAAGACTCGTTTTCATTTTGAATTGCATCACTTGTCTATTCCTCTATTCTCATTTTGTATATCCCTATATTCTTCAACTTCTGTAGCAGCTTTTCTATGGCGGAAACCTTGTCCGATCTAAACGATCTCAAGTTATTGACTGGTTGAAAGTTGAGCGCTATCAATGAATACGAATTCTGAAACCACATGTGCCATTCAAACTGACTTCCAACGTTCGCACACTAATGGAGATCGGACAACAGACAGGGTTGGGTATGCTTTTAGAAGTTCTCAACATCGATGTCTGCTGTCTATCTGAGACCTGTGTTCAAGGTTCTAGTTAAGTACTACAAATTTCCTCTTCGAGAAATGGTTTCATGTGCGTTTAACCAAGGACGCTGTGGCATCTTAGTCTGGTTTTTCTGGCTCTTGTGTCACACTAAGCTTTACAGCTGAGACAGCACAAATCGATCGGATCTCCTTTGACAGTCGGTTATGTGTTGTTAGATTAGGAAGCTCCATCAAAGTGTGGAGAATTATGTGTGAGATAGGATGTCTTTTCGACATCTCCGTCTACGCATCAACAGACTGCAACCCAGATGTGATCAAGGATGAGTTTTACTACCATTTAAGTGTTCTTTTACGTAAAGTGCGTTCGACAGATATTGTAGTACTAGTCGAAAATTTCACTGCGCAGTTCGGGCGTCTAGTCACAGGAGTCGTTTGGGTGGCCAGTGGTCTTACTTCAGATAACAGTGATCATCTACTGCGATTTTTCTCAGACCACAACCTGTTTCTGGCTAGCACTAAGTATCGTCACAGTCATCGCCGACCTGTACTCATATTGATCACATCGTGATCAGCTACCGCTGGCGTGGTTGTGTACAGTACTTCCACTCATTCTGAAATACTTATCTAGACTCTGATCACGCCTTTGTTTACGCTAACCTTATCTTACGTTTCAGTAGCGAACAAATTCATCTCCTTAAACAGATCTATTTCGTCAAATTGTGGTTAGTAAAAGTTGCTCAGTCTCACCATTCCTTTCTAAATTTGTCGTCGATGACATTTTAGAAATAGCTCTGACGGATCCAGATGGTAGTGTGGATCTGTTGTCTAGGAAGATACTTCTATCTTGAGTATGTGGATGGTATTGTCTTGCTATACGATGATACCCAAGCCATGTAATCTGCAATTAATCAGTGTTCATAGTTATGGCATGTGCTTTGCACCTAAGTAGAAAGTACTTTTGCAAGACTAATAAAACTCTGGACCTTCACTCACTGTTGGTAGTGATCAGATAGAAGTAGCTGGAAAATCCGTGTATCTGGGTAGCTGTGTAAGTGCTGGTGGTGTCAAGAATAATGAGATCAATTCGCGTATAGTGAGAGCCAGAGCGGCTTATGCCAATCTGAACGGTCTTTGGAGTCTTCACAAAGTTGGTCTGGCTGTAAAAGGTCGGATTTACAATGCGTCAGGGAGAGCAATTTTCCTCTGTGCTTGTAAAACCTAGTTTTCCGAACTGAGGACACCAGATAACTCAGTGTTTGATCGTCCTTGTCCACGACGGACTCCTGGATTCCAGTGACAACACGTTAGTAATACAGAGTTTCGCAATGTGTATCCGGGGACGACGACGATAATTCAATTAGTTTTGCTACTTTGAAATACCGATTTCGATGGTTTGAATATGTCTTGCGAAGCTCGTTTTAGCAGATTCTACGTCGTGCATTATTTGCCGATGCTGAGACTGGTTCGGAAAAGAGAGGTGATCAGCACTTGACATAGTTCCGTGGTTTGAAAGACAGCTGTTTAAGATTGGCTTCTGTTGATCATTCACGACTTCCTAGTTACGGTCCTAGAAGATGGTACAACACACTGGCTAAGAATGGAAGCTAGTGGTGATCCTGCTATAAATTTCTTCATAAAAGTTAGAGTAACTTCTTTAATTGAGAGAATTCGTTCTTGTTGTATTTTTTCCAACTGAACTGCTTCTTCAATTAATTATTATTATTATTCTACTCTCACACACTTTTCTGTTCATTGTTCCTTTTTATTATATTCCCTTTCCTTTCTCTATCTTTTCACAACCTCAATTTTATTTTGTAGCGCATATATATTTGGCCCCCCTTCGTACCAATCTTTATATCTTCACATAAATAAAAGGTGAATTGACATTGACCTTCTAATATAGCAAAGCTGAAGGCATTATCGTTAACTTGAAACAAATGGGAACAGATGGTTAATATTGGTCCACTTATCAAACTTACGGAGATAGTAGTTTGTTTTTGGGAGATGGATCTTGTTTTAATGGCCAATTTTCTTAAAGAATTCGCTATGTTGAAAATAACAGAAGTTTGCTCGTCTTATTCTTGGTAGGATTATTGTTTTAATCCCAAATAGAGAAGGATATGGAAAAAAACACAGAATATGGAATCATTCAACTCAGAGTGTGAAATTGGTTATTTAATTGCATCATTATCCTTGTTTTTTAATATAGAGTTCGGTTTAATGGTTAGAGTAAAATTATATTTTTTTACATCTATGGAGATTTAATTGTCTTAGTTGTGTGAGTAGCATACTCTGCAAACTTAAACGTCTTCCTCATTAATCACAGGTGACGTCAAATGAGAAACACTGCTTTCTGTTAAAGTCAGTGAACTGATAGCCAATTTATATGTAACCGTTCGTGTAGGAGAAAAAAGTTACAGTCCCGTAGTTTTCTGATATTGTCATACGTGATAAAAGACTCTGATCACTTGATATAAGCATGGGCGAAAATCGTGAAGCTTTGTGCCTCGACTGACTATACGATGTTTTAAGCTGTTGAAAGTAACGGTAAAGTTTTGTAATTGATGGGGGCAAGAACAAAATTGGGATTATCGATGGACTACACACAGATTCTGGAACGAAAGAGGACTAGTCACATCGAAATACAGAAAGAATATTATATATAATGGGTTCCATATATCATTCTATCGCCAAACGGATAACTGGGCCCTTCTGACTATTAAGAAATCAACTTCTTAAGTACTCCTTGCAAAATTCCTGTGTCTTATAAGACTGGTTTCTTCACATGGGTTCTTTTTCTGTGGAAACTCAAAGTAGCTATGTATTATGTGTTCACGTTGATATAAACCAGACAGGATGTAGAATCTATATGAAAATAATATGTTTAAGCACATTTATCCAGAATTACAGACTAGGTTCTCAATTTGCGCTTTACTAAATCTCAAGGACAAACATTTAATCTCCACTTTGAAGCACCTACAACTACACAGAATACGTTTTATCACTTGAAATTATATATAAAAACTGGGACTTAATTTCTTGACAGATATTTACCTAAATATATTTCGAGCGTAGAAGCAGATACTTGTGTATGCCATGGTCCTAGTTTTATCGATACTTATTTTCCTTAAATTATGTGACGGTTTTTAATCTTTATGGCTCATAAATTATTGTTCCCGTAGTTCATTATATGATAATATTCTCATTCGGATATCCCTATTCTCTTGTCCTACCGTCTTTCACAATGACCTTTATTCGCCTACTTAAGAAAAATAATCGTACCATGGTTTTCCACCATTTAGTTGTCCTTGACCTTTAACCATTTTTGGCTTTCTATATTCTCTAACCTGTCTGAAATTTTAAAGGCAAATAAGGAAATCTAAACAAATGAATAATGAGAAAGGGGTTTTGTGGAGATAGCAGTAATTTAATAGTTGAGTTTATTAGTCGATTAAAGCTAGATCACCATGGTAAACCTGGAAGCACTGGGCGGCCGTTTCGTCCCAGGGCTCCTCGGTAGTGCGCATTCACGATCCTGCTCGCGGGATAGACTCATGAATTCAAGTATTAAATTACTACAATCTCCACAAAACCTCTTTTCTGATAATAACCATCATGTACTCACTAGTGACTGGCTTCAAAATGTATTTCCCGGAGTTTTACTGAGAAGCCGTGACCAGTGGATTGATTAAAGTTAGACATTAACACCGTTGGATGCCAGTCGGCTCAGTGGTCTAGAGGTTAGGCGTCCGCGCGTGCGATCGAAGGTGTGAATCTCGAGTGCAACATCGTGGGTGTGCGCTGCTGAGGAGTCCCATGTTGGGACAAAACGACCATCCAGTGGTTCCAGGTTTTTCATGGTGATCTAGTTTTAATGGACTCATGAATTTAACTGTTAAATGAATAATCACTGTAATATTTTACTAAGGATTACAATACTAAGATGTACAATATAAACGATAACTTTGGATTAATATGGACACATAACATTGAAGGTTGTATTACGTTTACAAGCTGTGCGTATTTGGAAAATTGTGTAAGGCTAGTGAGAATTTAAAGTATGTTGAGAATTGCGTTAAGTTATGCTAAAAGTTCTGACAGTTATGTTTTTTTATTAACGCGTGTAATATTAATTTACTTCATGAATACTTGTAAATCAGATATTTCGTTAGACCGATCATTTGATTCTTATTTGAAGGTTTGTAAATGATGCTTACAAAAATAAAGAGTTGGGGTTTTGTTTAATTAATTTTGGAATTCGTTGTGTACCCACCTTAATCCACAGAGATCGGAGTACTGATTTCTAGGGCAGTCTAGTCACTTTATATTCATTGATATGGATTTATGATTTTAGCGTTCGTTATTATCACCTAGTATCATCAGAATTCAAACTCCCCTAATAAGAGTTGGTCAGGTTCATAGTTTCATGTGTGAGCTAAAAAACTTATTACTAGTACAATCTACTATTTAGGGATAGCTTACTGAGTGACCGAATGGTTTTAAAGATTTCATTTCAGAATTTAAACAAGAAGCTCATAATTTTCTTAATAGTGATAGATCTTAGGTAGGGACAATGACAAAACAGAGTAATGAAGAATTTTTGATGACGATAATGACGCCTTAATCCTAAGTGATCATGAATCAAAAATTTCTTTGGGAGTAATATTTTAATTCCATCTTCAAAGGATAACATAAAAAAAGCTTGTACGAATTTGCAGAATAAAGAAGAGCGCACTAATGACACTAAAAGTGATGGTGATACATATTTAGTGTAGTTATCTAGCTTCTTGCCTAAATGCCCAATTTTTAAAAGGCGTTATTTCTTTGGTTAACTTAACTGCTTTGTAGCTATGAATTCACACCAAAAATTGCCTTTCCAAAGATTCTTGTTATGAGTATTCTGTAATATTTCCGACTAATTTAACTGCTACGTTTTCATCTAAAAGTGAGAATCACTATAGGTTAGTAGCTTGTTTAATATACATGATCTGTTAGGAATAGTCTGATTAAGTATTAAATTTCACTCTCATAGTTTTCCTCATTCATAGAATACTAGGAATATTCTCAGTTTGTTTTGAAACGTCACTGTTTGTCCGTTGATAGTTTCCTACAGTTCATTTACGAAATACTTGCCTGGAACCACATATTCTTCGTCAAATTTGTCGTTCATTTGTGGACAAAATTGTCAAACAATTACCTTGAGAGTTTCTTCGTACATAGCAACTGTGACTTCAGTCCCTAAATTCCGACTCCTATTTATGCAGATAAGATTTTGTTAGATCCACTTATTTAGTTTAAAAAGAACGTAGTCCAAGACGTTTCATATTAAGTTGAGTCTCATACCTTTTGCACAAGTCAGTGGATTTTCGGACTCAGTAGCTAAGTGGATGGAGTGATAAAGTTTGGAGTGAAATGTACTGGATTCGAGTTTCGGAATGAACGTCAACCTGCTTTATCCAGTTGAGGAGTCCCGAATAAGACGAAGCGTGCGTCCTGGATTCAATTACTAACCACATTCAGTCTATCTTTTCCATATTAAAAGAACAACACGTTCAATATAACGCGCTTATACTGTTGTGTTAAGAAATTTCGCAACAAATGGTGTGTACAGAATCTGTTTAATTTCTAATAAACTATTTAATTTAGATAACTGGTTTAGTATCGTGAAGAGTTCTGAAAATTTAGTTTTTAGTATCTATTACTTGAAAGTACTATCTCTTTCTGTAGACAAATAATCTAGTGTATAGGTTATTTAAGTTGTGTATACTTACGAGAGAAATGAAGAAATTAAACGCCGAACATTTCATAATAGGTATTTTATTATGGTATTATTACAAATAATTCTGTATTAATATTATTATCCACTTTTTCTTAACTATACGGTTAGTCGAATAGAATTGAGAAACGAGTCTTGTCTTTCATTATTTCTACATTTCGCTTACATTGTCAGTATGTGTACTTTCTTGTCCAGACCACCTGGGCTCAATTTGGTAATGGTTATTCCAACTCTGATTTACTTACAATACTCAGTAATATTTCTACATGAGACATGATGTTAAAGGCAAAGTAACGATAATAAGATGACGTCACTGTTTAAATACATAAACGATACACGTTTCATTTTTTAGGACTTAAACACACAATAACTAATAAAACGAAAATTGAATGAATAAGCACTATGTTTTCCACACTTATAAAAATACATAGTGAGAATTAAGAAGAAAAAGAATCACAGATTAAGTTCATGCAACCTATTGGAATTTATTTCCTGCAATAAAAAAAATCCATAAGATGTTACCGCTGTACGAATAAGCATTTATTCTGTAACTAAGAAGAACACTTTCAATTAACAAACAAGTAATACCTTCTTTTTTAAATATTAAAAATAAACAAATATCATTACCAAAAGTAAATTATGTCGATGTTTATTTATGTAGAAAAGCACTTTAACAATCATTAGTTATGAATTAAGATCAATACGTTCATATATGAACATGTTTTTTTTAGGTCAATTTTAATTAGAAACAATACATTATGAAATATGTAAATAACATGATAATAAAGATATTCATTTATTCATCAAGAAGTTTTTTCATACATTTTTCTTTTTCACATTTTACTTTTTTCCATGATTCTGCACTTGATTTCAATATTCTAAAATAATGATAAAAGAGATATTCAGTAGGAAGAATTCTTTACGTTATTTCATTCAGACAGATAAATAAAAAGTAAATGTTAATGAATATGATAATGAGATGCTGATTTGTTTTTGTTCTTTTTTTTAGATTAATTTATCAAACAAAAAGAAATAATTTTTTAAACTTTTTCTTATCAGTAAAAATGGAGGGATGAATTAAGCTATGACTGTTTATTATTTTATTTCTGAGACAACTTTTAATGATAACAAATTCTTATTATTGAGGATGGAAAAAATTCATGATGGATAAATTTGTAATCAGGAGTCAACTGATTATCGATTCTTGAGTCATTTATATTGTAAATTGCATAAACTTCTACTCATATATATAAGAAAAATTTCAACTTCTGAAATACATATTAGATGGAAGCTAGTGTACAGAAAATTCTGTAAGTCATTCATTAGTATCTCAATCTAAATAGGAAACATTTAAAAGATCTCAATGAATGGGTGCAGAGTATGAATACATTGGTAGCTACATAAGTTTCCATATGTTTAAATAATGAAAGCACAAACAAGAGTAGTGTATTCTTAAAAGGTTGATCAGTAATTTAGAATTTGGTTTGTAATGCAACTATGTGAATGTGAGATTTAGGTCGTAAATGTGAGTTTATAGTGATGCAAGTTGATAACAAGTTATTCGGGCTTGTTAACTAGGAAAATGGAAAGGTAACTTTCTAAATGCTTTAAAATTAAAAGTAATCTACGATATCCACGCTTAAGTGTCTCTCTGAGTAACCATTTATCATAATATTCTTCGTATAGATCCGATAGTTATTTAAAACAATAAATATAAAACATTATGCGATTCCGCACAATAACATTAAAGAGCATATACAATTAAGATAAAATTTCTCTGAAGGTTTTATTGTATTTGACGAAGCATAAATAACACCACTGTATGGATTTGTGTTGAAAACTGTACACAGATTTAAACATATTCTACTCTTAAGAGCTATCCAGGTTATTTGTAACACTTAAGTATGGACTTCGTACAAGGTTAAATTTACAAACATTTTAACTATACATGATTAATTGGTCGTGTTAAATAAATTCCATATTTCTCATTACACACCAGTTTGTTAAGTGAACACTCTGATATACTTTGTATAAACAATAACACAATAAAATGAGTAAAATTTAATATCAATATGAAGATCAATTAAGAAAATTTCTCACGAACCGGAACATTTTTAAGTGACCCAAACCAATTGATTGTTCAATGTCGATCGTTATAATAAACAAGAGTGAATATTTTTAGTAACATTTAGGTCTAGTCTACAATCGATATTCATCTAAACCTATACTGTATTAGGAAGATGCTGATAATCCACTAGTATCGATTTGTAACATTATCAATAGAAGCTTGCACAAGTACAATACAAAGTTTGGTGAAATTTATCTGCAAATGAATAGAATGAATTTGTCTTATTATAAGTATTTGTGTTACAGTTTTTTTTACATTTATTCTTAAGTAAATATTGACAAGAGCTATTATCTACTAAAAAGGATTTTAGTTCATTAATGAACAATCATTTTTCTTGTAACTTCCAAAATATTCTCAAATTAAGTGAAAGTAACAAAAGCGATCGAAAAGATTTTTGTTTTTTCTTTTTTTGGAAAAAAAACTTTATATAATAGAAAAATTTTAAAAAATAAACAAAGATTGGAAATGTTCACATTGTGATTTGAATCAGACCAATATTATTTTTATTAGTTGACTTACTGAACACTACATTGAATAGTCAACTCATATGTATTATTTTTCTTGAAGATTGGTCATTTTGTTACTTAAAAATGTAACCTATTTGAGTCAATCATCATAAACAATATTTATAATATGATATATATATATATATATATATATATATATATATATAATTTAAATTTTGGAATAAAAAAATATAGTTAATTTTGAAATGTAATAAATAAAGTATCCAGAAACTATTACTGCTATAGTTACTTTGTTGTTTTGAACTTTTGGAAAAGTTGAGTTATACTAAACATATAAATACATAGCTAAGGAGTAATAAAAAGTGAAGCAAATCGGAGTAATATTTTGCTGTGTTAATTAACGACAAATGTTATCAAGTTTTAATAATAACGCATAAGTTTGCGAAAGCTTACTTGAAAACATCTTTAAAGGCTATTCCAATTGGCTTAACGCGATAAGGAAGGTTATACTTTTCACATAAAGCTTTTACATAAGGCCTTACTAGATGATAATTATGTCTTGGCATAGTTGGAAATAGGCTGAAATGAAAAAAAAACGGTATAATTTCATTAAGTTAGTAAGGTATCATGCTATACTGTCAAATGTTTTAAGCTTCACGTAGTGAAAAATGATCATCTTATTTTCAAAGCTATAGTACGTGCAGATCACAAAGTCAATCTAATAGATGTCAAACTACATTTTCTATCTTGATTTTGTGTTATTGGATAGAATCGATCGAGAAAATCGCACCTAATTTTTAACTTTGATTAAACTATTGAATAAGAAATATCTGTTTGATTATTTTGTTGGCTCAGGTCTTTAATTAGGTTCAAATTCGATAGTGAAATATATTCTACTAACTACATTGTTTTTGAAGTGTTTTAGTCAAATTCTATCTAAAAACCTATTTTAGTGCTTACTTTCTAAACATGTATGCGAGAAATGAACTGATCAACATTATTTCATTGTTGAAAACAACTTGAATTGTTCTGCTGTTGATATACTTGACTAAATTTTGATCAGTTGTTGTTGGCATACGTGCATCCTGTGCGAATCGCTTCCCTATAGTCACTTTATCATAAGCTTTTCCATAGTCGATAGATTGTTACTAGTAGTGGAATCATAGTATGGTAATAGATAATGATCAATATCAATTGGAATTTATCAGTATTGAGAAAAGTTAATGTTTATTCTTCATGACCTTACTACTTATTTTTAAGCGTAGTATTTTAATTTTTAAAATTCACTAATATCTATGCAGTTAACTCGATTTAAAGTTAGAAACCAAAGTTCATGTCTTTACATAAACAATGTGAACAACTAAATTTCATCCTGTTGAGTTTATCAGTTTGCACTTGGGTGAATGCATATTATTCAACCAGAGTGATTATCACTTACATTCAGAGCTTGTCAACGACAGGTATCTTAAACGATAAAAATTAGTAATTTTAAGAGCATCAGGAAGAAATAAATATAAATAAAATTTAAAGATTGAGAAGTGACAATTTAACTTACTGATGTTCTATCTGGAAATTCAAATGTCCTGTAAACCAGTCATTGAATAGCGAATTTTCAACATTGCATGTTCCATTTAGCTGTAAACGAAACCATGGTTCAGCTCGATCATAATCTACTGGCATAGCCAAATGGTTTGACTGACTAACCCAAGTGAACCAGTGACTTTCTATGACTCTAGAAATCGAAATGTGTGGAAAAGAAGCAGGTTTACCTTAAATCGATCACTGGAATAATGCATTTGATACCGTTACAGTTCAGTTTGCATTGCTAAATAAATCAATGACAACTTCGAAAGGATTATTAGCAAATGATCGTAAGGTAATATCTAATAAAGGAAGGAAAAGTATCAGGCAGTTTGTAGCAATTACGAAAATTATACGTAAACTATTCTTGACCATAATAATGTTTACGAAAAGATAAAATAAATCAGTTAATCCGATACATCACTCTGAATTCAGGTTGGTTGAATTTCAAATGAATAGTTTATGTATCGATCATCTTTCAATCGAATATGAGAGAATATCTAGTTTATAATCAGGCAATACACTAACGAAAAATTTGTATTCTGGTAAGCAAATAAAATAAACATGACCTAACAAACTGGCGTAGTACGTGCACAAAAATTTGTTGTGACATTCTGTCATTTATATATTAAGTGACAGTGTGAAGATTATTAAGTGAAAGCTATTAGCTCAGTTTAATTTGAAGCTATGATTTATGAAAAGTGTAGATTAACTTGGTTTAACCTTAACATAGATAGTTCGTAATAATTTTAGTCTAGGAAGTAACATAATCAATTGGCATAATTTAACGTCTTTTTAAAAAAAAATATTTTAATCCCAACTAATGAATCAGTTGTTCACTCTAACTACAATCAAACCTTACTTTTCAGTTTTATTTGTTCTTGTGGTGTTAGTTAACTGTAAATAATTTACACAGTTAATATTATATTACAAAACAATAGTCGTGTTTAAAACGATAATAAAGTGGAGACAACACGAAACAAGTGTTTACGTTAAAGTAGATAGATGTAGCATTAGTGTGAAACTATTTTAAAACTCATGTTTTAGATGGTTTATGTGAAACTAGATACATTTAGTATTTGTGAAACAAATGCTTTTTGTCTTTGAGCATGCATACATTATTGATTTTCTATTGTTTACTCTCTAGACATCTTTAACTGTATTCCTTCTTGGACCTTTTCCATAACAGATTTCACTTAATAACTTGTGGAAGTAATATTAGGGAATCTATCAACTTTAGCAGATGCACAGCTATCAGAAACTCTAAATCATTTCCTGAATTTTGAGAGATGGTGCATTGCAAACACTATCTGACGTAAGCACAACTGATAAAACCGAATGTAAGATACCACAGTAACTATTTTATCAAAGTGATATTTAAATGATCAGATTGGGTATATAATGGAGGAAACTTGGAAAAAACTTTGGAATTTTTTAGCCCGTTTAATGGAATATTACGGAGCATCACTAACGTAGGCATATCTTACTCATTATCCTAACGAAATGTCATTATAAATTTCAAAAGCCGGAGGATAAATAGTGTTTTTAAGTGTTATTTTGGCACATGTTACCGGACTTCAAATTAGCAAACCAAAAGAGAGAGGACTAAAAGCATAAGTCACAAAATAAAGATAATGTAATCAGTACAAAACTAAAAAGGGAACCAAGAACAAAATGGAATCGAGAAGTTCAGGTAAGGAATAAAGCTATATCCGATACTTGAAGAGCTATATACAATGAGTGCCTTTGTATTGTTGTAACTGTTTTTAAGCCACATAAGCAATAATATTAAGTCATTAATTACGATGATCAAGTACATTTTCCAACCAAGTTAATATTCTCTGACTTCATGAACTGATACAGTGTTTTGGTCTGGTCACTTTAAGCCTTTTTCTAACCTAATTATATGTCAGTCAGTTTATGAAGCAGGGGTATAGCGTGAATGGTAATGTATTATACATAAGCAAGGGACTACGTTGAATTCACGATCAAATGCTTAAAATCTACACGCAAACTCCATTCATAGAAAAAATTATTTTTATTTAGCGTTTAAGTTTATGTCGAGATCACAATAGTTTATTTTATATGGCATAGCCGGTTACTATCCAGTTTTGTCCTTAAGTAAATAGTTTACACTAAATAATCATAAAAAACAGTACGTGATAATTCAGTGGGAGTTATTACATTATGTTATTAATTCATTTACTTGTACTTTAAAGTGGTATTATTATTAACTGTATTTGGTTATAGTTGTACTATTTTATTCTGAAATCGTGTAAAGTTTCTATTCAAAGTTAGTTTCACAGCACAAACTGAAGAAGTAATTTTGTTAACTTTATTATTAAATAAAATTAATGCTTAATGTAAGTTATATATCATATATGTTCGATTTTAAGTATTTCAGTTCCACAGCATATCAGTTGTGACCAGAGTAGCTCAGTTGTAACATCTCAGACTGTCAAGCTAATTAACTTGATATCAGATCTTGCAGATAGAGCCAGTTCACTAAAGATTAAAGCTATACTTACCGGACGAGTACTAACTAGCACGAAACCTAGGTCCAAAGATTTTCATTGACTGACTACTAACACCTAAAATTAGATTCTGACTATCTAGTGTTGTATCCATTAATTTAGTTTGAGTCGGATATTTTCCTGTTTTGAACTCATGTCTGGCTTTTAAAAAGCAGTACCACGCAACCACTATGTAATGTTATATAGACCTAGGTTAGGTTATGGTTAGATCGATTATGTATCGACTTTTTTAGAATGTTCGGGATTATTCTCAGGAAAAGTGAAACTTTCAGGCCGGACACGAAAAATGATTGCGTTAATCAAAATGTTTTATGATTTGAGATTGTCATAAATTTTATCGACGTTAATGTAATGGCTTTTTCATTTCTTGAAGAATCGGTAATAAAGGATTTTACATGCATATTAAAATATATTTTTATCTTTCTCAATGCTATTTTAAATTGGATGGTTTCTATTTTATTTCTAATACATATCTATTTGCCGAGAACTTCTTGATACCGAGACCTTTGATTAGTAATCCTTTAGTTTCATATTAAAACGAAAATTAATTCATATGACAATAGTTATAAGTGTAGTAATATTAATAATGATCACATACCTTACAACAAAAAAATAGCCCAAAGTTCCCCAGAATCCAAGCAATGAATAATAAAGAGAGAGTAACTTTGCGCAAAATCCCGTGACGTACAGAAAATCCTTAGACGAATTAAATAAAGAAAATCTAAAAATGACCTTGAAAATGTAATTATCAAGCACTGTAAGTTACAGCGAAGTACAGAAAAATACAATTATGTTATTTGAGTAGAAGCCCATTAAGTAATAATTTTAATGGATGTTAATTTAATATTTAGTACCCTACAACAGTTTTCTAATGTTTAAACTTTGAATGATATCTTAAATATTTGAGTTATTTCGTTATACATTTAGTCATGAATTGAAAGATTCTACCTTGGGCACGCAATAGGTTTAATAATCAAACTTTATATAGAAAGGAGTTTATCACATTTATCATCGGTACACAAGGAAATATATTCCCATTGTTTCATCTCCTGAGTTGATTTATTGTAACTGTAAACATGGGGAATGTAATAAGATATACATGCATATTCAGGGAACGATCTACTAACCCGAAAATCACATTTGTTATTTCAAAGGAAACTAAAATTCTTATATCATCGCAGTAACGTGGGTGAGACAGACCCTAGAAATATGGCTACGGGTTTGATAATGACATCATCATACGATTAATTTCTAGTTTATTCTAATAAGAAATGGTAAGAAAGTTTTTCAAGTTATTTCTTTTGAGCATTTTTTGTGTGTGGGCTTGGCACGTCAGTTGCAAGCTAACTAAACAACTTACTCAGGTTATATATGGCTTTTGTAAAATACTTTTAGTTGATTCATGTAATGATCAATGTTCAGTGTTATTCTGTCACTGATTTCAGTCTTTCATAATAGTTGCAAATAGAACTCAGAAAAAAAATTACTAAGCAAAGAAACGAGTAAAAAGTGATTCCTATTAATAGTTAAAAACTAGTAACTTCCAGCGAGGGTCACAATTCGTTTCCAAGTAGCGTTAAAAATATGAGGTTGTTTGATATTCTGTTAAGATTGAACCTATTTATCATTTATGAACATGGTTTAGTATATAGGATTTTGCTTATTGTAATTGTTTTTCGTGTTCATGCTTAATTAAAAAGCATAAAATAATTAACAATAAACGAAATAAAGCAGTTTTCATGAAGTCAAGAGATCAAACTTTATTTGGCTGACCTAATATTTTTTTGTTTCTTGAACATAAAGCGTAGTTAATCTGACTTTTGTTTGATCTGAAGTGCACATTATAATCGCGAAACCGATTTAAGTAGTTTTGGTAGGTTAGTTATGCAGTCAGAACATATTGTGTTTTTCTTTTGACAGGTATATTACGTCATTTGGGCATGCCTACTGAGCCCTAAGACCGTACATTTTAGAATGCCTAGGTTATCAATTCGTCTACCATTGAATGCAAGAATCTATTGACATTTGGTAATTGAGTGGTGGACAATTACATGTATGTCGTACATTGTAAATTTGCTTACCTCTATTCTTTTGTGAATCCACATATGACGGAAGGACATGATTTGGAAATAAACAGGAAATAATAGAGGGGGACCAACTGAAAGAAAAGAATCATTTGTTAGTCTTCCTTCATATGCTATAATTTGACAGCATTCTTTAATACAAGATTCATACTAAAAGACCTATTTTCTCGTGATTCAGTACAGCGATGTTGAATGTCTAAAGTCCATATGAGGGAAGAGAAATGACATGTAATTGATTTGTAAAGTGATAGATTCTCTAGCAAATCTAATTGAACCCATGTTGATAGTGTTTTACAGTTTGTACAGTGTGGTGTTATTTCTGGAAGTTTTTGTACGGAAAATCAAATACTTAGTTGATATGTTTTTACTAGATTTGGTGAGCGAATCTATTAGACTAGAATTTCTCAAAGTGATTTCATTGGTTATAGTCTACTTTTCTAGAATTTAATATTCATTCCCTTACGATTTATCATTTTACTTTCCGTCAGGTTAAGTACATTTTCTTAATACTAATTGTTCATGAGACTATAAAAATCAAAAGCCTATATATATATATATATAACATGAAGAAAATTGTTGTTTTTATAGACGATTGAGTCTTCATACATCTTTTTTCGGTAAATGTAATTGGTATATAACCACAAACAGTTAACAACCTTTGATATTTATTTTAGTTAGTTAAGTATTTGAAGTGGTTTTGTATAAGTTTTTTGTTATGTATGCAACAGAAATTAGAAATGATGAATAGAATTTTGAGAAAAAGCTTTCCGAACATAAAAGGTGATTTTATTAATTTAATAGATTTGAAGCATTTAATCTCTTCGATAAATTTAGATAATGTAATAAAACGACGAAGATTATCAGAACTATGTGGTATATTAGCGCAATACACGTTGAACAACCTGACCACACATATACTAATTAAGAACATTTATGTACAAAAACAGATTTGATAAACTTATACCTGATCGCTGCTTTCTCATCTAAAATCTTGTAAGATCAAATTCATGAATATGAATGTTAATCTGTGAAGTTTGGTATATGTTCCAAAATAAAGTTCTTACCCTAAAGTAGTGTAATAGTTTGAAATGTTGCGGCTACAAATTTAATAAATAGTAATATTAATCAACACTACGATGTAAAGGACAAAAAGATCTATTCGATAAACGTATTCTGATGGTCGAGAAATATCTGATTCTAATATGTTTACAAATTAAGGAATGATTATGTAACTTTTAAACTTTAGTCCCACTAAATTAACAATATTTGAATAATACACTAAATCTTATTACTAAGTAGAAACGGTTTTATAATCGAACGAAATATTAAAGAACTGTAGGTGTCTAGTTAGAATTAAGTTACATATTAGACAAATTGTACATGCTATTGAACTTTACATGGTCAGTCGGAGTTTACAAAAACTGTTGACCTAGATTCAACTATCTTATACTCCAGAGTAAATGTTTAATTATTGATTGTCGTATAAACAAATAGTTTAGTGTGGTCAAACTGTTGGATTTGTTTCCCGAAGACAAATTCATTAGTAAAATAATGACTTTTACTAGTACTAAATTTTCGTCTATATAATATTAAAATTAAATGCCAAGAGTACAAAGCAAAATATTTTAATGAAAACAGAATGCTGTAACCACTGTTAGATATATTATGAAGACCAACCACGCAACGTGATAAGGACAGTTTACCATAGTGAACATAAAAGTTAAAATGAGTGCCCTAAGATTTCTTGGTGTCACTCATTTTTTAAATTACCAATTGATAATACATTTATGGGAAACGAGGTGTGTGATGTTCATTTTGGAAAGGCATATTATATGACTAATAACACCACGATAATCCTTGTTTATAACCGAATAGAATTGTCTTGGATACATTTGTTTCGAAACAATCCTTCAATTTAATTCAGTCTTGTATTGCGTCGCCTTAATGGCTATGAGTTTCGCTAATAAACACCAACCAGTCGTTTAAGGCCGTGAGAATTTCCTGAAATTTTATCTTGTCCAAATTTAGTTCAGGTCTCGCACTTAATTGGTGTTAACCTTTACACTTTAGTCAATGCCCAGAAAAAATCAGTAGATATACAGAACTACCTTAAAAAACAACTCCCTAGTCAAATATGTATGTTTAACCTTCAAGACTAAGGTAATCAAATTAATCTGCTGAATATTTCAGGAATAGCTAATTGGAGAGAATCCTCTTTAATTACTTCACTGATAATTATGATCGTGCTAACCAATAATATTAAGGAGGAAACAACACTTTATGCTATAAGTGTAAAAAGATGAATGTTATTTAGATTGTGTTTACTGAGGTTCAAAACCCATGGAGAAATGAAGAAATGAATTTGTTCATTGTCATATACTCACACACTGTTAGGGTAGCGAAATTCTCTGAAGAAATATTCATATATTATATGCCTTCACATAAACAGTGCTCTTTGTGTACCCATGAAGATCACTTATATAAGAGATGATGTAGATTTCTGCATGATATTCTTACAGGAACAAATGAAAACATAAACTATGGTTTTAGAAGCATCGATTTGTATAGACTTCGTTTTTACTCAAAATATTGTTGAGCAATTATTCAAATAAATTTAATTAGATTTTGAAAAAGAGTTATACGCATAATGTCTGTTTATGTGAGTTTAGAGGTCATACTTTTTAGAACAGTAATGCGCTATTCATACTCACAGTTATACTTGTGGAAATATTATCATATAGTGTCTGGGCGGCAAGAGTCAGAGAATAGCCTCTAAGGCTTGCTCGATAAATTATCTCGTAAATTGTGAACGTTCGTTGTCATCTGAGGTGAGAAATAACTTAGTAATTAGTTAAGTTTAGGAATTCCTTATCAACATTATTTCGGAGCTTTCTTGAATGGCTTACACTATGTGAGACACAAATCGATACAAACCGTTTGATGGCTTATTTAGATATGAGTGGAGCTTCATATTTATAGTCCTTTAATATTAGTATGAAGTTTTTCCATTTAAAGGTTGACATTCCTTAGCTGAAAAAAAGTATTGAGTTAATCCCTCCTCCAATGATAATGGATGAGATCTAGAAAAAGAAAGAGACGGTCATGATGGTTGGTTGTGTACACTATGGGATTGTAAACTGTTAATAACAGAGACATGAACATGATCTTGGTAGTCAATGTAGACAGATAGATTTATGCCCCACCTATCATTCTGTGATAAAAGAGGGTTAGGTTGTACATTTTGAAGTGTAAATATTTGATTAATATAACTGCATCTAGGTCATAGACTGGATTGGTTTTCTCAGGTATATCTTTCTCGAGCTCTGCTTAGGAACTGAATGATTATGTTTGTGTGTTTTGCAACAATAATCTTATTCTTTTTTGTAGACTTGGACGACCAACAAACGAAATCGGTCAAACGAGGTTACGTCGGGCTCTCAGATTCTAGCTAGTATCTCGATCAAATTAACTAATAACGACCACAGCTCTTAAAGACTTCTGAAATCAAATTATCATGTCTTGTTCTCCCCATCTTTAAGAGCTAGATGACTTGTGCATAAATTTTATTCAATTTATTTGGGAGGGAGAGGTAGTTGAAGAGTAGCTGTATATCGGATAAATCGCAACTTAAACTATTTAGTCTGTTGATTCAATCTCGTGGATAGAGACTAGGTCAGCTTTCCACTTCACTCTGAACGTCTCAGCAACAACTGAATTCTTAATACTTGTTTTTCTAATTATTCAAAACAGTAATCTAGTGTTATCTATCGCCGTTGGTTTTTCTACTGTTATAACTCTCAAAAGCGTACTCATTATAAAACATATACAAATCCAGATTGTTATCGTTCATGTAAATAACAACTCAGACTTAACCTAATTGAGTAATCTACTTCATACAAAATAAGTCAATTTATAGTGTCATTTTTCAACAAATGCTTTAAATTGGTGACGCAAACACCTATGCTGTCGAAAGCACTTTAATTTGTTTGTGGAAAAATCAATAAAACTAGGCTAGACAGTTATATCTAACCTTTTTTTAAACAAAATTAATGTGGACTGCTTAGCTTCAGTGCAAGTAAATTTAAAAATAAATTTACTAATCCTGGAGATTAATAAAAACCATAAGATCTATGTGAAGATTGCAAAGGTTTAGAAACATACTCTTTCATCAACATTTTGAGTATGTTACTTACTTACTTACTTATGCCTGTTAAACCTCGTAAAGGAGCATAGGCCGCTCACCAGCATTCTCCATCCAACCCTGTCCTGGGCAATCCTTTCTAGCTCCGTCCAGTTGTAATTCATCGTTTTCATATCTGCTTCTATTATCCGACGCAATGTGTTCTTTGGCCTTCCTCTTCTCCGCTTCCCTTCAGGATTCCAAGTTAGGGCTTGCCTCGTGATGCAGTTTGACGATTTACGTAATGTATGTCCTATCCATTTCCATCGTCTTTTCCTAATTTCTTCTTCAGCTGGAAGTTGGTTTGTTCTCTCCCACAGAAGGCTATTGCCGATGGTATCCGGCCAATGGATGTTGAGTATCTTGCGTAGACAGCTATTTATAAATACTTGTACTTTCTTGATTGTGGTTGTTGTAGTTCTCCAAGTTTCAGCTCCATACAGTAGAACTGCCTTGACGTTCGTATTGAAGATTCTTACTTTGATATTGGTTGAAAGTTGTTTTGAGTTCCATATGTTCTTCAATTGTAGGAAAGCGGCCCTTGCTTTGCCGATCCTCGCCTTTACGTCTGCATCGGATCCTCCTTGTTCATCGATGATGCTTCCCAGGTATGTGAAGGACTCTACATCTTCCAGAGTTTCGCCATCAAGTGTGATTGGATTGCTGTTCTCCGCTTTGAATTTGAGGACCTTAGTTTTCCCTTTGTGTATGCTGAGGCCTACTGATACAGAGACTGCTGCTACACTGGCTGTCTTCATCTGCATCTGTTCGTGTGTACGTGATAGGAGGGCTAGGTCATCTGCGAAGTCCAAATCGTCTAATTGATTCTGAACTGTCCATTGTATTCCGTGTTTTCCTTCAGATGTTGAGGTCTTCATAATCCAGTCGACTACCAGAAGAAAGAGGAAGGGAGAGAGTAAACAGCCTTGTCTGACTCCGGTCCTTACTTGGAATGCATCTGTCAGCTGTCCTCCATGCACTACTTTGCACTGTAGTCCGTCGTATGAGTTCCGGATAATATTGACAATCTTCTCAGGAACTCCATAGTGTCGAAGAAGTTTCCATAATGTCCTCCTATCTACACTGTCGAATGCCTTTTCATAATCAATGAAGTTGATGTATAGTGACGAGTTCCACTCAACCGATTGTTCGACGATGATCCGTAGTGTTGCAATTTGGTCTGTGCACGAGCGATCCTTACGGAATCCAGCTTGTTGATCTCGAAGTTGGGCGTCTACTGCATCCTTCATCCGGTTCAGCAACAATCTGTTGAAGACTTTCCCTGGTATTGACAGTAGTGTTATGCCTCTGTAGTTTTCACATTTGCTCAGATCTCCTTTCTTTGGAATCTTGACGAGGTGTCCTTCTTTCCAGTCCATCGGCACTTGTTCCTCCTCCCAAATCTTTTTGAATAGAAGATAAAGCATGCTTGTGATTGCTTCGATGTCTGATTTCAGTGCTTCAGCTGGTATGTTGTCGGGTCCCGCTGCTTTCCCGTTCTTGATTTGTCTGACGGCCATTCTAATTTCTTCCGTAGTTGGTGGATTAACATCTATAGGAAGATCTATGTGTGCTGCTTCGATGTTCGGTGGATTCATTGGAGCCGGCCTATTCAGGAGCTCTTCGAAGTATTCTACCCATCTGTTACGCTGTTGTTGAATTTCGGTGATTGGCTTGCCTTCTTTGTCTTTGACCGGCCTCTCTGGTTTACTGTATTTCCCTGATAGTTTCTTCGTTGTATCGTAAAGCTGTTTCATATTTCCTTCTCTAGCAGCTTTTTCTGCCGTCGTTCCTAGTTCTTCCACGTATTTCTTCTTGTCGGCTCTAATGCTCCTCTTCACTTGTTTGTTTGCTTCTATGTATTCAGCTTGTGCTTGGACTTTCTCTGCTCGCGTTCGGCTGTTGTTTATTGCTGCCTTCTTGTTCTTCCTTTCTTTGATCTTGTTCAATGTTTTTGTAGAGATCCATTCCTTATGATGGTATTTCTTTAGACCCAGAACCTCTTGACACGTTGAAGTTAATGCTTCCTTGATGCCTTTCCAGTTGTCCTCCATAGTAGTTTCTTCTTCTTTCAGTAGATCTTGTAAGGCTTGGAACCTGTTGTTGAGAGCTATCTTGAATTCATTGAGTTTGACAGTATCTCGAAGGAAGGCTGTATTGAACCTCTGTATTGCTGTTTGTCCACTTGTCCAGTTCTTTTTTAGCTTCAGTTTCAAATTGGCTACAACTAGGTGGTGATCTGAAGCTACGTCAGCACCTCTCTTGGTTCTCACATCTTCCATTGTCCTTCGGAATTTTTTGTTGATGCAAATATGATCTATTTGGTTCTCTGTAGTGTGGTCCGGTGAGATCCATGTAGCCTTGTGTATACGCTTGTGTGGAAATATTGTGCCGCCTATGACCAATTTGTTGAATGCACACAAATTTGCAAATCTTTCTCCATTTTCGTTTCTTTCTCCCAGTCCATGTCGTCCCATAATATCTTCATATCAAGTGTTATCTATTCCGACTTTGGCATTTAGATCTCCCATCAGAATAGTTAGGTCCTTTCTTGGGCATTTCTCAATGATTGACTGCAGCCGCTCGTAGAACTGATCTTTAATTTCGTCGTTGCTATCATTGGTGGGTGCATAACATTGGATAATATTCATTAAGATCCCCTCCTTCTTTGTTTTGAATGATGCTTTGATGATTCTGGATCCGTGAGATTCCCATCCTACAAGTGCATTTCGTGTTACTTTGGACAGCATAAGAGCGACTCCCTGAGTGTGTGGAGCATTGTCCTCTTCGTGACCGGAGTATAGCAGCATCTCTCCCGTAGCTAGCCTTTTCTGTCCAGCTTGGGTCCAGTGGGTTTCGCTGATTCCCAGTACTGCTAAGTTGTATCTCCTCATTTCCATTGATATTTGACTGGTCTTCCCGGTTTCCCACATTGTTCGAACGTTCCATGTACCTATAAAAATTTTTGCTCTGGTTGTTAGAAGGGGCATCGGCTTCGTGGCTTCCGAAGGAACTCGGCTTTCACCATGAAGCGTCATAATTCTTCTAAATGAAGACCTTCTAACTCCCAGGGCAGAGTTAAAATGGTTTGGATTATTTTTTCTGGTAAGCGTTTTTTTAGCGAGTTAGTATTCTACGGGATGGGGACGCTAACCCCATGCCCAACCCTCCTCCTTTACCCGGGCTTGGGACCGGCAGCAACCCTATAAGAGCTACAGGCGGAGTTATTTTGAGTATGTATGATCAAATTATTGGAATTCTGTATCAGGAAAATGAATTGTTAAATTCTATACGTGTAATGATATATATAGTGACGATGAATAGGAGCTATATAATTTCTTTCAAAGTATACAGAAATCCAGTACTCGGGTCCAGGGTGTTTCTATGGTGTTTGCTTCTGATACCACACCTGAATGTATGAATAATTCCATATATTAATTTTTAAAGTTACTGAGGTGTAATAGACATAAAACCCTTAATGTTTAAATTTAAATTTTGATATTCTTGGGATATTCAGAAAAATATCCCAAAAATTATTCTGTTAAATCTAACGCTATCCTTGGACTTGAGATGGTGTCATTTCCTCATTGGTCAATGTTTATTTCACGTATCATTTGCCTACTGGTCAATATTGTACAATGTTATTTTCTATTTTATGGTCCGATGTGGTCTGCTTGACTGGTATATAAACAAAGCATGTTTGAAATATAACGATATATCTCTCCGAGGCTGAGACTTGTGTTCCGGACTCAACTGGCTGGGCTAGGCAGGGGAGCGGGACTAATCAGAACCCTAGGCCGTTCTTACGTGTTTGCGCTTCTTTGGTCCGATCGATAATTCGCTGTCCTCTAATCAGCTGCCGTCACAGTTATAGCAGGTATCGATAATTCAGAATAGCTTTTAAGCTTCCCTAAATAATGGTACTCATTAATGTGCTTTTCAGGTAGATAGAAAGCTGAGGAGGAACTAATCACTTAATTGTACTGTGGTATTTTCAGTGGACATAAAATGTTACACTTACAAGCTCTGAACTCGGTTCGTATTCAGGTTATTGTATGGTTAACTATTCTTATTATTCAGTTATCAGTAATTTACATTCTAGGGTTAACAAGTGTTTATCTGTTCGTTGTATTTTAGCCCATCTCCTTAATTGGTATAAACTGGTTAAGAAGTAAGTCATATATTGGGTGAAACGCAAAAGGATTTTCAAGTGCAAGTAATTTTCAGGAGATAAAGCAATAATGTATTGGGAGTTATTTTCAGATAAACTAAATGTCATGTCAGTGTAAACAGGAGATAACATAGAAAATACTGCTAAGTTAAGATCTATTTGTGTTCGTTCAGTTGTGTAAATTAGGATTTTATAGATCATATATTCTGTCGAAAGAAATTCCTTTAAAAATAATTAGCCTGATATTTACCACGAATTATTTGTCACATATTTAGATTAAACTAAATTTCTAGCGTAATCTCTTTAATGAGGGACTAAATATCCTCCTAGAATTTAAATAACGGGTTAAATCAATTAGCGATTATTGGTAGAATTGGTAAGAATTTAGAATGAATTTATCGATATCAGTTGAATATTTATGGAATAATTAATGACTTACTTAGGAAAAAATATTTATGCTGGTGTTCATAAGGAAAATGCCACGTCCATTTACTTTCAGGACTAGCTGCTCTTCTAAGCACGTTATCACCAACAACAAAAATTGGTTCTAGTCGGGTATCTGGATCTTTATCAATCTGTATTTAGATTGGTGATAGAACAAAATTTGTGAGAAATAGTAAAACTGTAAATTTACCTGATGAAAGTATTCTCGTAAGTTGAACTTTTAAAACAAAAGTAGCTATCAAGTATATTTAAATACTCAGGATAAAATAGAATATACAATAATTTACTGAAAAAATCATCTGTTTGGTATTTTGCAATTTAATTCAATTTATTATTATATTCGATTTTGATGATACATAATCAAACATGGACTACCTGAGATCAAATCATCAATTATTTATGCATTTATTGTGAATTAACGACATGGTTTACACTCAATAGATAATAAATTTTCATTACATTCAGGGACACTGTAAAAGTCAGCTAAAGTTGTAGTAATTTCTGTGACAAAATATAACTTACCACGTTCGGTTTAGCATGATGTTGAGAATGCATGTGATTCCACCAATGGCAAGAAGCTCCCTTAGTTAAACCAAGGATAATTTCATGGAAAATATGATTTATTCGCGTACTCCCAAATACCGATAGATGTCCTAAGTCGTGTTGCAGCCAACTTGCTTGACCCTGAAGAAAAAGTAACAATAATATATTGTCCGTTTGAATGACTTTTTCAAAGATTTTATGAGTGAAAGCACCTTCGAGTGAAAAAGTGTACCAAGACCATAAAATCCCAATGAAAGCTTACTGGCTGAACTGTGCTTATGTAAATTGAAAAATATGATTACAATTAAGATTGGAAATAATTATTCTGTAATTATATGTTCAGCTGGGAGGATCAGTCAAATAGTTACGGAAATGAGGAGGTACAACTTGGTGGTGCTCGGAATCAGTGAAACTGATTGGGCCCAAGCTGGACAGAGAAGGATAGATACAGGAGAGATCCTTCTGTACTCTGATCACGAAGAAGAAAATGCTCCACACACTCAGGGAGTTGCTCTAACTCTGTCAAAAGAAGCACGTAAAGTAGTTATATGATGAGAATCTCATGGATCCGCAATCATCAATGCATCCTTCACAACAAAGAACGAGAGAATCACAATGAATATTATCCAATGTCATGCACCCACCAGTGATAGCAATCACAACGATAAAGATCAGTTTTACGAGAGGTTTCAATCGATCATAGCGAAGTGCTCAGGAAAGGACCTGACCTGATGAGAGACTTAAACGCCAAAGTCGGAATGGACAACACCAGGTGTGAAGATAACATGGGACGACATGAACTGTTTGTGATAAAGGGACGAAAATAATGATAGATTGTTAAGTTTGTGTGCATTCAACAAAATGGTTCTAGGCGGCAAAACATTCCCCCACAAACACATACACAAAGCTATGTGTGTCTCACCGAATCACACAACACAGAGAATCAGATTGATCATATTTTCATCAATGAAAATTTCAGAAGGTCAATGGGAGACGTGAGAACCAGGAGAGTTTTTGACATAGCTTCACATCATCACCAACTGGTAGTTGCCAAGATCAAACTGAAGCTAAAGAAACAGTGGACAACTGGACAGACAGTATTACAAAGGTTCAATATAGCCTCCCTTTGAGATACTAACAAACTCAATGAATGGAAGATACCTCTAAGCAAAAGGTTCCAAACCTTACAAGATCTACTCACAGAATCAGAGACTACTATGTGGAACAACTGAAAAGGGATTAATGAAACATTGACTTCAAAATGTCATTAGCTGCTGGGCTTTAACAAGCATCATCATAAACAATGGATCTCCATCGAAAACCTGGTTAGGATTCAAGATAAGAAGAACAAGAAGACAGCAATTAACAACAGCCGAACAGGAGCAGAGAAAGTCAAGGCACAAGCTAAATGCACAGAAGCAGACAAGAGAGTGAAGAAGAGCATTAGAGACGACAAGCGAAAATACGTGGAAGAGCTAACAGCAACAGAGGAAGAAGCTTTAAGAGAAGGAAATATGAAAAAACTATATGACGCGGCGAAGAAACTGGAAGGGGAAATATAGTAAACCAAAGAGACCAGTCAAGGACAAAGAAGACAAGCCAGCCACTGAAATTCAAGGACAGAGGAACATGTGGGTAGAACACTTTGAAGAGCTTTTGAATAGACCAGCCCCAATGAACCTACCAGCTATCTCAACAGCACCCACAGACTCTCCCACAACAGTTACCCTTACAACAATCGAAGAAATTAGGATGGTCATCATAAAAATCAAGAGTGGAAAGGCAGCAGGACCTGAAAATATACCCGCCGAAGCACTGAAGTCAAACATAGAAGCAACTGTAAGCATGCTCTACGTTCTATTCACGAAGATTCGGGAGGAAGGACAAGTTATATAAACAGACTAGAAAGAAGAATACCTCATCAAGATTCCAAAGAAAGGAGATCCGAGCAAATGTAAGCACTACTTAGGCATTACGCCACTATCGGTGCGAGGGAAAGTTTTCAACAGAGTGTTGCTGAACCGGGTGAAAGATCAACTGACCGGATTCCGTAAGGATCGCTCGTGCACAGACCAAATCGTGACACTGCGGATCATCGTTGAACAATCAGTTGAGTGAAAATCGTCACTATCCATCAACTTCATTGACTATGAGAAGGCGTTTGATAGTGTGGACAAGAGAACATTAAGGAAACTTCTTCGACACTATGGAGTTCCTCAGAAGATTGTCAACATTATCCAGAACTCATACGGCGGACTACAGTGCAAAGGCGTGCAATGGGGGACAGCTGACAGATGCATTTCAAGTAAGGACCGGGGTTAGATAAGGCTACTTACTCTTTCGTTCCCTCTCTCTCCCCCTCGCCTTTCTCCTTCTGGTGGCTGACTGGATTGTGAAGACCTCTACATCTGAGGCGAAGCACGAAATACAATGCACAGTTTGGATGCAACTAGATGATTTGGAATTGCTAGATGACCTGTCCCTTCTATCCCATACACGTCAACAAATGTAAGTCAAGACAGCCAATGTAGCAGAAGCCTCTGCATCAGTGGGCCTCAACATACAGAAGGGAAAAACCAAGATCATCAAATGCAACTCGAGGAACACCAATACGATCACACTTAATGGAGAAACTTTAGAAGAGGTGGAAACTTTCGAGTATCTGGGTAGCACCACCGATGAACAAGAAGGATCTGATGCAGATGTGAATGCAAGGATCGGCAAAGCAAGGATAGCATTCCTACAGTTGAAGAACATTTGGAACTCAAAACAACTGTCTGCAAGCCATAATCAAAGTCACAATCTTCAATACGGACGTCAAGGCAGTTCTACTGTACGGAGCTGAAACTTGAAGAACTGCCACAACCATCATCAAAAAAGTGCAATTATTTGTAAGCAATCGTTTGCGAAAGATCATGAATATCCGTTGTCCGGATATCATCAGCAACAGCCTACTATGTGAGAGAACAAACTAGGTTCATATGAAGAGGAAATTAGGAAAAGACGTTGGAGATGGATCAGATACATATTGAGGAAATCATCAAGCTGCATCACGAGGCAAGCGCTTACTTGGAATCCCGGATGAAAACAAAAAGAGGAAGGCCAAAGAACACACTACGTCAAGAATTGGAAGCAGACATCAAAAGGATGAAATAATAAGTGAAAACAACTGGGAAGGGAGTTAGATAGGGAATGATGGTGGGCGTCCTATGCTCCTCGACAAGAGGCAACAGGCGTAAGTATCTATCAATGGTTTTTGTTTTCAAAGACTATGATTCCTATATTTAGAGCCGCCACAATCTCCAGACAGTATATGGTGAATTTAACTTGGTAATGTTGCTTTACCTAGGATTAATCAAATAACCCAAACGATAGGAATGATTTTATGTTTTAGAATGTTGAAAAATATTGACATATACAATAAATAAGTGTTCACAAGGAAGCAAGTTTTATTTAACTTGGTTAGATTGAACTTAGTGCCTAGATAAGTAGTTAGAATGATTTGTATCATCAGTTTTTTCAAAACAATATTCGATCAATATATTTATTTTGGACTTTATTGCACTGTGACTTTCTGATGATGATTATATGGTTTATATTACATCTTTAGCCAGTAAGAACAATTGTTCGATTAGGACGAACTGGAAAATTAAAACTACGGGAATGTAAGCCACTTCGACTGGTAACACAAAATTGGATCATAAATCTGGGCCATTCATTTTCCAGCATGGTAAATCGTTTTTTTCTACTGTTTTACAAACACGTTTGTAATGGTTATCAATGGTCACTTAATCACAAATCTTGCTTTTCAAGCATGGCCAGGAAGAATAAAACAGAACTTCGGTACGTGACTGAAATCAGCTCAGTATTTTTACAAGTTCTGTATACAAGTTGTCTTTAAAGCTTTGAACCACGATATCGAGGCCTTTATTTTATTACTGCAATGTTTGTGACCTGAATTTGGAACTATTTCGTAAGTTGCACAATCAGAAATGCTCTATGGAACACGGAATTTAGTCAATATTTATGTCTTAGCTTTTTATAAAATCTTCCAGGGTGTCAACCCAGAATGCATGTTTTAACAACCACCTATGTTTTACATGTGTATTGAAATCAAGACAATTCATTTCAAATGGTAATAGTTACGCATTCTATAAATGATTGTATTCACAATGAATACATGAAGCAGCCTGCTTAAAATTACAACTAGTTAGAATCATATTTTTAAACTTCATTCGTGTTTCTTCTCGTTTTCGAAGGGTGGATATTAAAGTCAACATAACCCAGGAGTATGCTGTTATTTTTAATACAATACCATAAACGTATTACGTGAACAATTTATTCACATTAAATCTAACGCAGATAATGTCTTGTGATATACTAATATGAATAACAATTTCAAAGATAAATAAATTTTTAGGTAAACATTATGGTCTATTGTGTCTTGATATTAAATTACGAAAATCAGCGTGAATGAAAACGTTTCATTTGTAGGTTGAAAAATTATAAATAATTCCCAAAATAATTTATAAATCATGAATCATTTATATTTGATGTGTGCTATTTTTTCAACTGGAATAAACTTGACTACTTGCTTACTCGGCCTTCATTAAAATATTTACACCTTTACTACATACAATCTTTCAATGAAGTTATGCTTGTTGACTAGGCCTGCTCAGTCTCCTGGTTATATATTTCTCTGTGAACAGTCGCCACCAAAGTTGTCATCGGCATCTGAAGACATACATTGTTCTAATTTATACTATGGGAGTCTTTAATATTATATCAGTCTAATGCTGTGACCTTATAACCTAATCCACTACTGAATTTCGATTTTCTGGTATATGTAATTATCACTTTCACAGAGGAATCAATGAAGAGCGGATGTATACATTAGATGGTGACATTTATAAAATGAGATTTGCATGATCCAAAGATTATGAACTACAACAGAATTTAAAGATTCACTTCTTATTTCAATAATTGATCATACAATAAGAGAAATGTCTTATTTTGAGTTGGGATTTTTAATCTAACGAAAAGCCATGAAAGTCTTTGGCCATATGAAGTGGAATTTTGATGATATATTCAAGAAAAAGACAGTAATATATAAGTTTATGAACATTAGACATATGGAAACAGAAGTTTAGAGAATAGGTTCAACAGAATTGGTAGACAGTTTAGGTTTTGACTCTCTTTGAGCTATGAATTTAGATGTAATAATTATTCGCAATCGGGAGTACTTGACTTCTGTTCATTTAAGTTTATTTAACTAAAAGCTAAGGGATTTAAATATCTTTTAGAGAATAAGTTGTCTTCATTTTGGCTAAAGTTATTATTACTACTATCAGTATGTAAGGGAATCTAGAAGCTTACAAGGAAAATTTGTTTAGTGGAGATAGACGTGATGAGAACAAAACTCAGAGAGTAAGAAGGCATCTTAAGAGCCGAAATAAACTGACATTATATAGTATTACCTCATCAAGGCACAAAAGATACGTCTCACATCTGAGTTGAGGTGGCTAACGAAAAGGTAGACTTGTAGCTACATGACAGGGAATGAATGAGTTATTTTTAGGTTCCAAAGACTGTTTATGGTATTTCTGGCTTTAAAAAATCACCACAATACGAAAATGGTCTTTTTACATGTCAAAGTCAACAGTTCAACTTGAGAAAGAAGTTACTGTTTTTAATTTTTTAATCACCATTTTTATGCGAAATCGATTTTATTAGCAAATACATTTTATTGGTAAGCATACTAAAAATATAATTGCAGTGAATGGACAAGGATCATTTTAAAAGGTGACATTAAGTATGTTGTTTAATATTGATGGGTTTTTCATCCGTTAAAAATCCGTGCGCAAGTGTGAAGTTTCATGAGACTCACATATCTCGAAAATGCGAGTGGTATCTGCTTGTTTATTAAAAAATTCGAGTACTAGGGAATAAGTTTAAACAAAATTGTAAAAGGGGAAGTAGTGTCAATTTTAAGACGATCATTAAGAGACTCAACTGTGACACTTTTGCCTCGGCAGTTATTATTATTTGGATTGTTTGTAGTATATGAATTTGTCCAAAAAACTATCAAATATTCATATATTGAGTGATGCCAAGTCAATTTTTATGCTAACTCCATGTGAAAAATGTAATTTTCCCCCAAAAGCAGTCTGACAAGAGGTGTCTTTTAAAGAGAGTAGGAAACGCAAATAGCAATAACTTATTTTCACACAGTAAATTACCATCATTTAGTGTCTTATATTGAGACTTGTTACTTAATAGTCGGACCTGTATCATATACCTCACCAATTAAGCTTGGTGCTTTGAAAATAGAAGTTTATTTATTTGCAGTTGGAAGTAAAATTTTGCAGTTCCGACTGCTTGTGAAACTGCTCTTAAAACAGCACTCGAAATAGTATAATATTGTTCATGGTAACTAAAAGGCCCATTATATTTTGTTAATACCTGATAAGGAGCTGAGGTGATCATATCAATTTAGACGCTTATATATATATGAACCGAGAGGTTAAATAGAGTTATTTCAAAAGGTTATGAACACGCTCACTTGAGATATTGAATACAGTATAACTGATAACATAATTCGCCACCAGCTGGTTCCGAAATATGCCAAGTTTAAATATGCCAGTGATTCGAGCACAAAAATTTGAAGCATCATTGTACCAAAGAAGAGTTTGCTTCCATCAAATAGTCCCTAATATTGAGATTTTCATGCATAAAAGAAATAAAGCTAACCTAAATTCAGCAAAATATCAGTGTATAAATACAATTTCTAGTAGTAGTGAAAAGAAGCCCGGTTAAGTCGATTAAGTTTATACAAATTGCATTTGATAATTTCTTTGTTTACAGAGACAGAGCTACTTCAGTTTAAGACACAAGCGTACAAATTGTAGGTTGCTGAAAATGGGTTTGTCTACAAATTCACACCATCTAACGCCAAAGCTTTAGGATTTGGATGATTTAACACTTTAGAAACTATTGATGTATAAAGTGGTGTTAAGGGCTGAAATTAAAGAAAAGATATACATACTTACTTATTCTCTCAAGAAAAACATTAATTCTCGAAATTTTAGTGAAGTATTGATGAGTATGGTTTGCAAAATCAACTGACAGATGGAATGATAAATGATAGTCTTTTGAGAGCTGATATAGTTGGTTAATTCGAAAGGTTTGTTCCTAACACATCGTTAAATGGCATCATTTAACTAGTGTTAAAAAATTATCATCTGAAAAATAGATTGATCTCAAAGGTTTTCATATTAGCCTCATTATTTTTTAACATCTGTGAGAATAATTCCAGATATTTATCAATTATGTCTTACTTAGCCGTATGAAAAAGTTTAATAACAGAAATCTCCATAGTGTTTTTCAACACGAGGAGTCCTAAAAACGTCTTTATCTATCCCGTCAAATTCTTCGTTTCCAGATAAAGCTATATCTGAAAAACTTAGCATCTGTCAAGACTAAAATGTACTTAGACTAGGGATGTATGGAATGTTTGTGTTAATAAAATCTGATTGGCACTTAAAAGCCCAACTGGGAACCAACGATATTTTATTAAAAGAAACCTGAATACATGATGAAATCTTTTAGGACAAGTGACGAAGACTTTCGTACCTGCTACAAAAAGACGAAAATATGGTGAGTATAATGACGGATAGTCAATTAACTGGTGATCATATTTATCGGTTATCAAATAAAAGGCTCAAAATAACTTTCCGTATAATTTTTACCCAATAAGCTTTCACAGTACGCCGTGGATTTCAGATGGTGTTTTAATTACTTGCTATTATGTATTGTTTATATAAGCAACTCATTAAGTGGCAACAGAAAACATGATGTCCGTGATATGGAGAAATACAAAATAAAGTCACTAACAATACCTAAATCTAACCTGCTGAACTAGGATATTACGTACACCTTCTAGATCCTCGTGGTACTCCTTAATTTTAGAATTTATATCTTTGTCTTCTGGACAATCTTGGTCCAGATCTCCGACGTAGTATGCACCCAAAAACTTTTCAGCATACTGACGGTTTTTGTGAAATGCAATGAATGCACCCTACAAATTGAAGTGGTATTATTATATTTTAAATTACTGTTGCGTCTTGACCGGCGTAGTGACCGATAACTTTGCGACCCCCCGGATGTCTATTCTGCCAACTTGACACGTCATAAACCTTGTTGTCAATAACAATCCAACGGTCTTTCAATGACTGATGCTTTTTTACTTCTCCCCAATTAATAAGACCCTTCGCCATCCGAAGTTCTCGAAAACCCAAAAATAGTATTGATACTACGCGGAATGCACAGTACACAATATTTTGTACAAATAAACACCACAAACATTGTTCAATTAACCTGTCAGATTATCCCTGAACATTTTTCTTTAGAGCACGTTTATTGACTTTGAGATATGATGAGAGGTAATGATTTGTTGGTCTCCAAGACACCTGATAAAAATTCCTAGTGGGTGAAGTTGTTAAGGTTGTAGTACAGCAGATTTGGGGACTATCTTGTCATGATTTATCTTATAGCTCACAATCCTCTCCCTTCTATGACATCCTTTATAGAATTAAGTCCGAAAACACGATTAAGGAAGCATCTTGTTTCGACAGAAAGTAAAAGAAATAGCATACAAATTCTCATCAACATTTTTCATGGTCGAAATCTGCAAGACGTAGGATTCGCTACCAACAATGGTAACGTCCTTTTCCACCGAATCTTTCAAAAACTCTTCGGCATTTTCTTCAGTTCCTTAGGTACTGACTACTACGCCAGTAATTGGCTAAAGTGTGAAGGCAAGCTGAACAGTTAACTAAATATCGCAGATGCCAGGAATGTGCAACGCGGACTTATTAATTGGCTTTCATACACAAGAGCTTGCATCAGTGTTTCAGCTTTATACTTACTTGTCCTTACCAATGTATGCTTTTGTCCGCGAAAAATATTTATTCTGGCGGATTCACCCGATTATCTGTAGAATAATCCGGTTGAGGCTTGCGAAATTACTTCCTCAGGAAATGTTGACTGAAAATTATCGCTGAAGTCCACGATATGAAAAGGATGTTTCATAAAATACATATAGATGTGACAGCAGCTACTTCGAACTTTTCTGTGTAGCATGCTCTTGGTTATTCAAGGTCGGCTGTAGACTGGAAAAATATGAAGTTTGGTTCTGTCGAATCCGTGTTTATACATTGACTCTCTCAAAGAATCACCGAGGAGATCCAAAAATCATTAAGAAATCTGAAACAATTAGGTGGACAGTTCATAACGACTGAATATAAATGAATGTAAATTACCACAGATAGATATGTAGCTGTAAATAAATCCCCAAACTAAATAGTTCTGTTAGCCTTCAATATTTGATGCTGACCTCATTAGTCTTAATGCACACGTGTAACTGGAGGCGCTCGGTCACGCATCCACACCAACTCACGAGTGGGTACGACGTGCTACGAATCCCTTACAACAACTAGCCAGCTTAGATTAAACGTTACCCAATGTCTATAGCCTCCCAAACACATATTCAAACCTCTTCACTTCTGGCTTTTGATTTGACTGGCTTGGTATATTTCGATTGTAAAGGTGTTACGTGTAAAGGCGCTGTCAAACTTCGAATACCCATGGCATTTTTAAGATCTTGGTGATATCTCGATGAAATGACTGAGTTTCTTATTCGTGATGAAATGCCCAACAATGTTGAGCAGGCTTATTGGTTAGACCAAAAATTACAAATATAAGATATAAAGCAGCAGTTTTACTGTTTGCTTCATTGACAGACAGACTTCACAGTAGTTTATAAGATTAAAAGTTGTCCTACAGAATTAAATAGACATGGATACTTCTATACAGACTTCAGCATAGTGCCCAACTTTCATCACAAAATTTGACTTTGGGGCTTCCGAATGTCCCAGTCTCCATATAACTAAGTTACACAAACCTGGTAAAGGTAATGGTTTATTCATCTGACTCAGAAGATGAAATTCTACTACGATGGAGTTGGAACATAAAGGTTGCGAATAATCTGAAAAATATGCGGGCTCTTGTTAAACACTTTGAGCAATAATGCAAGAAATTTCAGGATTTTTCTGTTACTCTTATGTTAAGATATTGACTCATGACCGTTCCAAATCAAGGCTTGATGTGAAGATAGTGAATGAACTAGATAAGCTCTTTGATAATCCCATTTATCTTGATATTCCCAACAAGTTAAGTAGAGTGGTTGTTGATCAAGTCTTGGGAGCTGTTTATGGAGTTAAATGATTTTCACTGAAGTCCTCGATTTGCGGATTCTATAGATTACAATAATTTAATATGAACTTATATTTAGAGAAAGTAACTAGAATATTAATGTAGGATTCTTTCTTTCAGCAGGTATTGTATTTTCTACTTTTCTCAGTGGTATTTTAAAAAATTCGTTTCTCTCATATACCAAACACTGCCACGTGCTTGAAAGCGTGTTAGGACTATACATGTACACATAGATAATTCAATTGTTAGTTACTTTTTACTGAGAACAGGAATTTTAATACAATATCTTTAAGGGTTACGAGACGTGTTGTAAGGTCGGCGAAATATCGTAAAGCACCAAACAGACTATTCATCAGGTTAAATCTGTTAAACGTTAGAGCGCTGATGACTAGACGCTGAAGTGTTCACAAAATATTGTCAGGGTCAAAGATAATCACTATCACTTGACTAAATCAGGGATATGTTCACCGTACATTATTCCGTTTACACTCTTTAGTTATCTAATATACGACTTCAAACCGGAAGAGTTGCTCCCGAATTATACGACGGAAGTAGGGTATACTGAAACCACGTCAGTGCACGTCAGAAAATATAGAATTTGCCGTGGTTTGCCTTTGACGTAGCATTACGTAGGTTAAGCGTTCACAGCACTATTATTAGTTCTAGTAGGCTAAACATTTACACATCTTTCCACCCATTAATGACTCGAAAATTCGATTTCCTGACCTATTTCTTTGAAATACTTATTTTAAAGTCAGAGGGTATTCGTGGGTTACTAGTGCATGGAATTAGATTTTTCAAATCTTTCTATTACTGTAATGAACTAATACAGTAAATAATATTGAGATTAGACGCAATATAGTGTGCGGAGACTGAGAATTTGTTGAAGGGGAACTTAAAGTGGTTAACCAACATCCACCTTAAACAAACGACAGTTGACGGAATCATATAACAAGGTAACTAAAGAACTATAAGCCAAGGCGTGTTGTTAATCCATATTCTGATTAGCCTCTCACCTGAACAATGGGTTTGAGGATACATGTGTTATGGTCCTTGATGTCTGGCCTTTCTACCACGCGAATTATCCACCAACCAGAATACGACTTATATAAATTTTCACTCTATGCCAACCAATGACGTTCAACCGGTGTGGGCAGTCTAGCGCCTGGTTGGTCCGAGGTCTCTCTAGCCCGTCTGCTTGAGTCCAAATAAAACGCAATACCAGCTTCCGCAGTATGAATATAATGTATTTCAAACATACTCTGTTTATATACCAATCAGGCAGACCACAACGTACCATAAAATAGAAAATAACATGTGTACACAAATAAGCCAAAAAGTGGCTGTGAACGCGGGAGGTAGTAATTAATAGACTGAACATAGATTAAGAACCCTGAATCGTATAATAATAAATTATAGATCAAAATAAAGCTTATAATAAGGGGAATATAAATACACGTAATGTAATTATCAAATGATTATACAATAAGAATATTTATAGAATATTAGTCAGTTAACAATCCTCGGAAGTTACCTGTAACTTAATCTTCACTGGGTTATAACACCTCTTTTTTTTGAAGATTCCAAGTTTAGATTCTGATTTTAAAAAAATTGTGAAACTTTAAATTCTCCAACATTCTCCTCCTCCGCGAAATAATGTCGGATCCTTATGTCTCCAAATTACAATTAATAGGACCTTGTTTAGTCCATGTTTCTCGCATTGGATGGAGATTCCACTAGGAATGACTAGATGATAATGAACAACCCTTGATTTGAGGTCAGAGTTTGGTTCTTCTGAAGCTTTACTTTCAAATTCATTATGAATCTCATTATTAGATGAGTCATTAAGAAAATCAACGTCTAACATAATTAAATTGGATTTTCGACCATCATTTGACTCAGCCGACATATTTACATTTTTATAAGAAATCTCATCAAAATTATGTGCATTGTTATGAGAACCCATATCTGGTACATTGTCACGAGAAATTAGATAATTTGGTTCAATATAAATTTCTGTCTCCCATTGATTTTGAGTAACATCCGGTACAATTAGGCTCGTCGTGTTGCTCCAGTTATTTTCTGAATATGAGTCCCCATAGCTTTCTCGAGCAATATCACGTGGACCACAATTTTGTTCGAGCTGAAGTTTATTTTCAGAGCTAGACAGGGCCAGTGGTGTTTCATTGAATTCTGGACTCTGGGCTTCATCTACAGGATCTGGCTCCTGATCATCTGGTATTGTCACAACTTCATGTGCATTTAGCACAATATTGTCTTGCCGTGAGCCGGACAATTTACCAGTACTACGTTTTCCTTCTGGTATAAAGGGACTTGAACCCTCCGCAGGATATGCTTCTGAAATATCCATTACTGCACCATTATCTGCATTATAAATAGATTTCTTATTTTCTGGTTGAGTGAAAAGTCTGCCCAAAACTGTTTCAAATAGTTGTTGTTGCAAGGCTAACATCTGCTGGTTTTGTTGTTGTTGAAAGGCTAACATCTGCTGTTGCTGTTGCTGTAATAATAACTGCAACTGTTCTAAAGAAATCGACATTTTTTACTGCCAATAATAATATTAACATGGGGACATGACAATCCAGAACGTCGTTGAGTTATACAGTCAAGGAGCATGTACCCGAAATACAACCATTTTGTAAACATATATAAACTATAGATTATAACGATATTGTATGCCTGATCTATAGGAAACAAACAATACTTGTAGGAGCTTACTTTGTACACCAAATGCTTTCTTAGTGATAGCACCATCACAATACACTGCAGAAAAACTTCGCCGTTTCATCTTTTGATTGTCGTTCTGTATACACTGGTGTATGCTCTGCCTTGAAGTGACTTTCCGGAACATTGAGAAGTTATTGTATCCTCACCGCTCATAACTTGTACTTAAAAATAATGAAGAACTACTGAAATTTACAGGACGCGAAATAAAAAAGCCAAAACTGGTAGAAGTGGGGATTTATTCGCCCATAAGACACAGCGACACTAACCGAGAATACACTCATTATATATTAGGTGCCTGTCCAGTAAAATCAATGGTCAGAAGAGAAACTCGATGATATATGT